CGTTTCTCTGGCCAATATCGGATGCGTACGCCTTCAGGTGCATTCGGCCCTTGACCCGGTGCTGCGTCGAGCCAACGGGTGCTCATCGGTATTGCCATCTCGTGCCGGCACTTACAAATTGTCAACCCAGTGATGCAATTGTCCTTGACAATTCCTCGTGTGTTGGTCACGCAGACATGCCGCTTGTGCCGGCCTAATCTTGTCTCGTTTTCTTGTAGGTAATTCCGTGGGTGTCTCGCCGGGCCCGGCTCGTGAGCCGCCGTGTCCGGCCCTGCTCCGGCCTAGAATCCATTCACAGTATGTAGCCGCGCGAGGCTCCCCAGATCCGCGGTCGATGCCTCCGGGGTGCTCGTACATTGACTCAAGCAGAGACCACAGAACAAGCTTTCTTTCTCGAACATAGTAAAGGCCCTGAATCGTTGAAGAAGCGAGGTTCTGGAAAACGGTCGGACCAGGGCATTCCCTTCCTCCTCGGGCATCAAGGCATTGCTCGACCCGGATGATGAGATTCAGATCGAGTTGTGGCAGGTGTCAGCCCGAGTCATTCGTACAGGAAAATGTGTGACTATATACGGGCTTTTGCCGCGGCAGATGAGGCAATACCCAACTCTGTCCCCGGTGAAACTGCGGCGTGGAGGTCAGGAATCTTTCATATCGCCCACCACATGCCAAGAAACGCGAAGGTTACTACTGCATGCATGCGCGCGTCTTACAACTCGTGGATCTCGTGTATATCTACGACTAGTCAGGGCACCGCAGAACGTGACGGCGGGACCTTCTCGTAGGGCTGACGCCTAGATGGGACATATTGACATACCCTTACGCTCAGTTTAAACCCCCACGCAGACAACGAGAACGTGACCGTGTGCGTGCCACAAATGAAGTGCGTTATCTACGACGCGGCATACGGTCAGCCTGAAGGGCCGTGAAGAAACTTGACCGCAGGCTCGGAGACGATGCTCCTGTGCGGGTTCCTCCCCAAGCATGCCACGCAGTCTATTCCGACAACACTTGCAACATTTGCGGCAAGAGCCAAGTCAGGACGGATTCTGGGTGATGCACCCCTGCAGGACCCGACCCTGTGAGTCAAACTATGGCTGTCAATCTCACTAGGTTCACAATTACCACAATGTCGTGTGCCAATAGTCCCTTGTTCTCTGCCGACGTGTCCGTCGCGATGGTTCCGGAAAGTGGCCGACCCCAGCAAGCGAGTCAGCAGGAAGGCCCGAAGAGGCCCCGACAATTTTGTCTCCGAAGATGCCTCGGGACGTTTATTCCCTCGCCATTGGGGTCCACCGCGATCACGGAGGCAGGGGACCTGCCGTGCAGAGAGCGGAGCAGAGCACACGATCTGGGACAGTCGACGGGAAGGGGAAATGGGGCACAGTGGAGCCCTCGAGGACCGGTACCGATCAGAGAGGTCGTCGTCGGATGCTGCATTGCCCAGATGCCGCAAGCCAGGCGCCCGCGGAGAAGTTATGTTGGCATAACAAAAAGGCAGGAAGGATTCGAGGACGAAGTGGCACGAAGCGACCTTGAGCGACTCCTGGTTGGCAATCAGTGAAGGGATATTGTGGGGTGATGGGTGGCCAAGCCTGCGAGATGACCTCGACGAACGATATACCGCGAGTTTGTCCGCCGGCCCTCCGGAGTGACCCAGATACCGCCTTGCCAGGCGAAGACCGCACCTGCAGACTGTTGAGTAGTACATATGCGGTCAAGCATGCTGGCAGGACACGCCGCGAGACTGCGAGTTATTCCCTTTGCACATACCGAACGCGTCCGCGTGCGCATCGGACGTCCACCGAGCAGAATACAGCGGAAATTTTCTGCAAGCAGGCAAAGCCCCTTGGGATAGCTTTGCGCGAGAAGCCGACGCGTCTGCGAGTTGGACTCAACCAAACGCTATTGAGATCCTGCGGCGCTTATCAGGAGCATGGCCATCGGGAAATTCGGGCTGGCTCTTGGAGAGATCTATCTGCCAAGAGGCAACAAGACCTGGGTGGACGAGGAGGCTAGCTGAATGCAGCAGCTCATGGGGACACATGACCCCAGGTGACCCCCGGTTTTTTACCCCAGGCTTTTTTCTTGGGACCTGGAGGATGGATTGCTTCGCGGATTAGGGGTCCAGATTGGGCTGGGGTACGGGATGATGATCTTGACGATCAGGCATGGGGAGGAATACTGTGCCGGAGCAGTGTCTGACTCTCTTACTGCTCGGGGCTCCGGGGTAAACAAGTGAGTTGGAATCGAAGCATGTGGCATGCTGAACACCGGGCTGTCAGACTGTATACAGAACGGCCCCCAAAGACACGGAGTGCCCGTAAAGAGTAACTCCTGTGGGACTCCTTAGCTGGAGCCGGTATTCGAATGATATCCAGGAGGTTATCCCGTTAGACGTTATCGCGTTGGAGGTTATCCCATGAGAGATTATCCCGCGAAAGATTATCCCGCTGAAGGTTATTCCAATGGAGATGCTCCCATTAGATTTGACCCAAGTAGAGAAGCAAATCGACAGAAAGTGCTGCTCAGGGTCATATCTCATTTGAACATGTGTCTTTGACAAAGACCATTCTCTTCTGAAGTGGCCAGCCAGACGGGCACAACGAGAGAATCGACATTGGATGAACCAGTGAACCACCTCGGCGTATCAAACCCGAACCATTCGATAGGCTGACCTCTGGCTGACCGCCTGGAGCTTCCCGACGTGAACACGTTTTCTTGTCCGGGCTGGCTGGGCTGGACTGGGCTGGACTGGCACGAGGGAATTTGAGCTACCGGTTGCGAGGCCCGAGAAAGGGGGGGGGGTTAAGGGACGAGGGTCACACAGGGCCACAGGCTCCCGTGGCATTGGGACCCTGGGAGAGACGGAGACGGCGGGCGACTTCCTAGCCTGCTCCCGCTGTCAGTGACCCGTCCTGTTGGGCGGTAGGGCCGTTTTCTGTGTGCTGTGCTGTCTGCTTCTGCCGTGCTCGTGTCACACCGGGACTGACTGACTGACTGCAGCGAAGCGGTATGCAGGCTGGGACTGGGCTGAGCTGAGCTGGGGAAAGGCAATATTGTGCAGATCTGATCAGAGTCAGGAAAGGGGTAAGCAGCGAGTAATCTAGGGGACCAATTGCCCTGCAAGGAACAACGAAGAATATGCAGGAGTGGCAGATGGGTTGCTAGCAGGTGCGAAAGAGGGTGTGCTCTTTCCTCCCACGCCGGTAGGTGGTAGGGGTGGGCGTATCGGAAGGGAGGGGGCGGGCCGTCCCTGCGTTGCCTCGTCTGGCAGGGGAAATCGGGTCAACCTCAAGGGCAGGAGGGTTGGCCCTCTTGCCCTCTTGCCATCTTACCCTCCTGCACTCATGCCCTGCTACCGAACAAACCTTGGAAATCATAGGTTGGTACACGGTGGTGCAAGATGATGGTAGAGCCCAAACGAGGTAAAATTCATCGAAGGGCGGCGTGCCACGTCTCTCCCTCGGTGGCCAGCTCGGCCAATCCAGTCCAGCTCCGTCGAGCTCAGCTCAGCTCAGCCAAGCCCAGAAGGACAGACAGACAGACAGACAGACAGACAGACAGACAGACAGACAGACAGACAGACAGACAGACATGCTCTATTTGTGTACGCGAATGCTCACACACACACACACTCTCTCTCTCTCTCTCATCTCAACGGCTGGTTGGGGAGAGTCAGAGATGTACCTTGGGAAGTACTGGGTAGCTGTCTGTCACCCTAACTAGGGAACTAGGGACCTAGGGAGGGAAGGGAAGGGATTGGACGCCACAGCGACTGACATGTGAGAGAGAAACACACAGAAGCCGGAGAGGCCCATGTTTACCATTCGGTCCGGATCACGACTGAAACCATGGGCGCGCTGAGGCGACCTGAGGCGTGAGCTGCAGGGTCCCGGTCTTCTGTACGATATTTTGGGTGCTACACGTATGCCTGGCTTGCCTGGCTAAGGTTTGTCCCAGCTCCCAGCTCCCAGCCAGCCACTGCATGGAGGCCATCGCTGGTCTGCTATTGAAACGCCTCGAGGTTAGAGAGCATAGTGTCCAGTCCAGCCCAGCCCAGTCCGTGGCAGCCAGCCCTTTGTTGAAACGCGTGCTCAGGGCAGGCCTTTTCCTCGTGGTCATGGCCATGGCCAGCTGGCCCCCCGGAGAGGGCGGGCGATCGGTTGGATATCCGGGAAGCAGGAAACCCCTGCTCTCCTTGTGCTGCAGCTTCCAATTTTCCCCGGCTGGGCTCACACCGCCCGTGGCCCCTTTTCGCGGCCCAGAGTACTGTACGGATACAGAGGGGGGGACCATTGGGGACCATTGAGGCTGCAGGTCGCGTGTGTGCCGGCCCCTCAACGTTAGTGTGCCTGAGTCTACTACCCTATGTTCGGTATTGGTGCGCGCAACTGTCTGACTTGACAGTCAGACAGTCACAGTGACGAAGCACCTTGCACATCCCGTCCAGCTACTCCCTCTCTTCTCTACCTCCCCCCCCCCTTCGAACCCTTCCACGAACCACAACCTGACAACTCACGATCTTTCCCACTCCTTCTTTTGCGACTCCAGTCTATCGCGACAATCCCTCCGCCTGCATACAGTACCTTGCATTGTTCTGCAGCTCTCCACCAGCCCAAGCCCAAGCCCAAGCCGAGCCGGACTCAGAGCCCGACCCACCCCGGGACAGATCTAAGTCTACATTACCACCGCATACATTAGACTCAACGCCCAACCTACTTCGACCGGTGTGTCTGGCAGCAATTGTCCTCGTGCCATCACACGACCTTCATCCAGACCGCCACACCAATGACTTCTGCCCGAGAACCCGCCTTGATATTCGCATAGCATAGCACATCGTTTCCGTCCGCCTGCCGACTCCGTGAGATTGAGCAGTACTTCGTGCTTCGTTCGCATGGCCCACTTGTTGCCGTGAGAGCAACCACCCAATTGGCAACTCGCCAATACCCACCGCCAGTGGCATCGTGCCTTTCTGCCCTGCCCTGCCCTTGGCAACAATGACGCGCTTACCCGCCGACGACTCGTTCTTTCCCTCGCCTGCTCTTGACACCGACCAACTCCTGAGCTCCACGGCCGGTTCCCCCAGCGCTCACGCCCCGTCCTCGGTTATTTCACCTCTGAGTTTGCCCGGTGCTGTTCACTACTTCGACCAAGCGTCTCGCGCCTCCATCACAAGTCATCCGCAAGCAGGCGCAAATCACAAGTTTCCCCTGACCAACGGAGAAACTTGTGGGCCTCCTCAGGCGCAACCGCCCAGTTTTCTCTCGCCACATCTTACACCGATCCCGTCCCACGCCCAGTATCAAATCCAGTTCCAGCGCCACCCTCAGCAACGCGCAGCCAGCCTCTCGCCCACCAGGAGGTCTTTTGCCAGAGGGAACGGTGGAATGGACGGTCAACGCTCCTCGGATGTGGACTTGCCAGTTAGGGGTGCCCCGGGCGTTCCCGTACCGGTAAATACAATATCCGGAACTGGCTCTGGGCTCATAACCGTTCGGAGACCCGCGATACGGACGACATCTACGGAGAACTCGTATGGCGAATCGCAGTCATTGTCTCTGGAGTAAGCACTTTAATGTCAAATTCTTTGGGTCCCAGCAGCTAACATCGAACCAGGGCAAGAATGCGACTGGCTTGGGATGAGGAGAGGAGAGCGTTGCAAGCAAACCGTGATAGGGCAGAGGAAGTGTACAGAGACGCCATAGAAGCGTTGAGAAGTGAGCATGCTTCTGCGCAGTCTAAGTGGGAGGCCGAGAGGTACACCTTGCAAACTCAGATCACGCTGCTACAAAACCGACTCAGGAAATCCGAGGCGCGCTGGAATGAAGCGTCTATAAGAGGTGGCGGCTCAGACTCGAATTCCGTCTCATTCCAGGGCAGCTCAGCATCACAACTGAGCCCCACTGGACAGTCAGACTCCTTTCTCTCGCTACACCACGACACCAATTCTGCAGATCAGATAATTGCCATGGATCACGAAACGCCCTCAAAAGTAATTGACGTGCAGGAATATCACAAGGATTTGGAGGGCATCCACCTCAAAGTGAACGCCGTCAAAAAGGCGACTTTTACCGACACACCATCCAGCAACGGGTCTGGGTCCAAAACATCGAGCGGGGATGGTTCCCCGTCTCACACTCCCGAGGAACGGCGACAGTTGGCGAGAGAGCGTTCCGTTCGCGCCCTCAAGGCTGACCCGCACTCGAGACTCACAATCAATGCTGGGCACACTCCAACCGTGTCCATGTCTTTTGTTAGTACTGCTGCGACCAACACTGCCACCAGCAGCGGATCCAACACGCCAACACTGGTCAGTGGCGACGGGGCTATAAGCTCCGATGGCAACGATGGTAATGATGGTCGTGAGTCTAAAGAGCCCGCCGAGCCGGTCGGAACTGCCATCGACGATGAAGACCATGGCCCTGCTATCATGGAACCTTCAGATGAAGATCCGGAGCTCAAGGGCCCATTGACGCTCCGCAACATACCTGCGAAAGATGAAATCTTCCTTCGGAAACTTTCAGACAAGCTTGAGAAGGTCACTCATGGCGAGGACGCGACGCCGACCGTACTCAAAGATGCCGAGTGTGAAAAGGGCGAGCCCAGTGCTGCTGCTGCGGCAGGTGCAGCAGAAGCAGATGAAAGCGACTCCGAAGACGCTGAGCCGGAAATACCCCTCAAGCTTCGGACGACCTCAAACTTCGGCAGGCCTCTCGGCTCGCTATAAGATATGGCCACAACCTCCTTTGCTTCCTGTACATAATATAATCCCGTGACGACGATCCGCCCAGCGCGATCATTACAGTACCGTCCCCCATTTTCTTTGTCATCAGGAGCTAAGGAATGGAACTGAGGAGCGCCGCACCGGGTTGCTGTCGGCCACTCAAGACTGGAAGCCATTTCATTTGTTCGGGCAAGGAGAAAATAGAACCGGGTCTACGGCTGGGGATGAATCTGATTCTTGTCATGAGCGGACAACGAATATTCTGTGTTGCACGGGAGGATGGGACTCTACGATGGCAGTCTCACTGAGAATGGAGACACAGGGACTAGATACTTTGCACGGCTTTTTTGCACAATACCCCAGGTACAACACCAATGTTTTGCATAAATCATTTGTCTTCCGTCTCACCTGCTTGACGTCCAGAACTGAGCTGTGATGAGAGATTTATGCGAACATCTCGGCAATCGATGAAGAAGTGATTTGCCAGCTCAGCAGTCCACCATCCAGTCTCGATGGAGCCAGCCAAGCATACTGAGAGACTTGCCAACCCCATCTTGTTATCTTCAGCAGTCACGTCAACGAGTATGTCTCTCCCGATTTCAATGCTGGATGGAATTCTTATCAAATCTGCCCTCCATAAAACCATCATCACAATGCTAAAACCCGTGCGCCGTCCAATTCTCGCCGTAGAAAAAGTTCCACACACACCCATGCAGCCATGTCATACGTAGCGCCAACTCAAAAAAAAAAATCAAAAAAAAGCTGTCCGTCCCGTATCATTGCTCGCACATTCAGTCGCTGCATGCCACGCACATACACAAACAGTATTAGCTCGCAACCCACGCCCACCCTCGCACCCGCCCGTGCCTGTCACATGTCAATATGCACGCACGCAGCTCAGGTCAGCTTCTTGTACATTAGGTCGCCCAGCTCGTCCAGGAGGTCGCTGCGATCGATGGTTTTGTTAGCCAGTTACAAGGCACAGGCCAGAAAGGTGCATTGTCTCTCAAGGGATTCATCCCCAAGCAAAGGGGGTGGGTGGATGGGTGGATGGATGGGTGGGTGAGTGGGCAGATGCATGGGACAGGGGAGGGGGGGCCCTCATTCGGAGCGAATGTGGATCTTTTTGCGATAATGGTGATAACGTACACCGTCTCCTCTGGGCTGGCGATCCACGCCGTGGTGCCCACGCTGCGGGCGCGGAAGTCGTTGGCGCCCGCGCTGAGGAACTGGTCGCCCACGTGCAGCGTGTTCTCGGGCCCGAAGTGCAGCTTGCTGCTGCTGCTGCTGCTGCCGCTGCTGCCGTGCGACTGCTTCTCGAAGTACCTCTGGCACACGTTCACGCCCCAGGATTTGTCGCCGATGTCGACGAAGACGTCCCGGCCGCCATTGCTGGGAGTGTCTTGTCAGTAGGAATGTTCAGACATCGGCTAGTTGTATATGAGAGGAAGTAGAATAGGATGTAGATAGAAGATGGCCGAGACACTCACAAAGCACAGAAGGGCACCCTCTTGGCGCGGCCGGCAGAGCTGAGCTCGAGGATCTTCTGCGTGACGAGGACCGTCTCCTCGAGGGACTCGCGGGGGATGCGCACGCTGGGCGGGTCGGGGATGATGCCGACGGCGCGGTCCTTGCGCATGAGCACGGCGGGCAGGTTCATGGACTTGACGCACTCGCGCAGCGCGGCCTCGGCGTCGTCCAGCAGCGCGGCGATGTCGGCCTCGGACCACGCCGCCATCTCGGGCGTCAGCCACTCGGCCCGCGGCACCTGGCGCAGCAGGTGCGGCCCCGCCGACGCGTCGAACGCGAACAGGTAGTTGGCCTCGCCGCCCATGACCAGCAGGTTGGCCTTCTGTGCCGGCGACAGGTCCGCCGTCGCCGCCATCGCGTCCAGGAGCCCGTGCAGCCGCGCGTAGTACCGGTCGGCGGTCGTGTACCCGGCCGCCGTGACGATGCCGATGCGCACGTTGCGCCGCAGCAGGTCCAGCAGGCGCGGCACGATGGGGCTGGTGGGCTCGAGCGACTGGCCGTCGTCGTAGAGGGTCACGTCACCGTCGAAGGTGGCGAGCTGCAGCGAGCTGTAGGTGGTGACGGCCATGATCTGGGCCGAGTTGAGGATGAGGCGCACGTCGTTGAACGAGGGCGACACGAAGCGCCGGCTCGAGATGTAGCGCTTGCGGTCCTGGAACTTGAAGGCGGCCTCGAGCGGCAGCCGCGTGAAGAAGGTGCCGACCGTCGGCACCAGCAGCTTGAGCTTGGACGGCAGCGGCGAGCCCTCGTCCTGCAGGCTGATGTGGTCGTCTATCATGACCTCGACGTCGCGCATGATCTCGGCGTACCTCCGTGCCGACTCCTCGGCCATGTGCTCGAGGCTTGGGGCGTGGTCTCTGCCGAGGAACACGCCCTGGGGCTGCGAGTGAAGCACAAACGGCACTGCGAGGAGGCCCTTGATCCATTCTGTAGGGATGTCAGCGAGCCATCAATCTCACGGACTATGTATTCCTGAGCCATGTCTCTGTCTCCCCTGGACAGTGCCCTTCATCTGCTGGCGTGATCATCATGCTGCGGTGAGGGGGTGTGAGGGGGCCCCTGTTGGACATGAACCACGGGGAAACCACGGCAAGCGATGGTTTCGACAATAAAGATAGCCAGCCCTCCTGGGGGAGCATAGCAAGACTGACAAGAAGACACAACCTTCATACCTATCAGTTGGTCTCGCCTATGGGTCTTGAGAGCATCTGGAGAAGCGAGTCAGCCCAGCCGCCCGCGGGACTTCCCCCCTCCATCCCCCGCGCTTGTAAGCACGAGAAGACGAGCCAACAAACTCACATTCGACTCTGTATCGTGAAGTCATGATGATCGCCTTGCTTCCGTGTTCCACAACAAAAAGTAAGTATCCCGTGATTCGTTTACCCTGGATTGTGTCGTCTCTCAGCGCCTACAACAAAGGGAGGGAAAGCGCAACGCTGTCCCACGTTTGACGTAAACGCTTGGGCCATCTGATCCCAGGCGTCTCGGCGGTGTTCGGCGTACTCCTTGAATGAATGCCTCCATCCTCGGATGCCAATCTAAGGCAGTGAAATCACTGCCAACACCCAACAACTAGACTATCAGACTACCCACCAGGTACCTAGGCTTGCTCACCGACATGCTAACCTCCCAGGTAGCCAACAGCAACGGCCATCCACACTACCACGGCTGTAATTCTCACGACCATCTTGGACTCTGGTTAGGTAAAGTTGATGATGTTTGCACGCTCTAATGTCTTCTTGTTTGTCTCATCCTCTTTTTCCAGACATGCCATTTGGGGGGTTAGGTTGGGGGAAATATTCTCATAGAATAAAAAAAAATCACAACGGATACGGCCAGAGACGAGCCAAACGTCACAAGCTTCCCACACAGTCCCTCTTTATAACCTGACTCGACAGGCCACAGCCCAGCCACAACAATCAAACCCAAGGTGCTCCCTTCGCCTCATATTTTTTGGTCCCCAAGCTCTTTTAATACTTGTTTGGTATCATTCGATGCAAGCCCCAACCGCACGTCTCTGATCTCGTTGCTGCGTGCTCCCTCGGCCACGACCTCGGGGCTGACTTGGTACCTGACCTCCCCTGATCACTGGGGCGCGCGTCCACATCACCATTCAAGAGTGACCGTGATTTGCCCCTTGGACGTGACCATACGCGGGCTTCCGCAAGATAGTTCTTGTCTTACCGGCACTGGTACAGAACTAGCTGGCGCCGCCGTTGGCTCCTGCTGCGAGCTGCTGGGCTTGTTGTTGTGCAGCAACTGAATTTGCCTCGGCCTGTTGTACCACGGACTGGATCACAGCTTGTTCTTCCGCCGATAGGTGAGAGGACAGGCCGGTGTAGAATTGTGGTTGTTCTTGTTGCAACCCTAGGCAAACATTTTAGACTAGTCAAGACAGTGGGCAAAGTGACAACTTACTCATTAAGCATGAGCTGAAAATTTGGTACGGCTCGAGCTTATCCAGAGGAGACTCGAGCAGTACACTGTGCTCGCCCAGTTCATCGTCAGAATCTTGTTCCTCGAGATGACCGAATTTCTGTGCCTGTCATGCTGTTAGCTAACAATCGAGCATCGCCGTCACGGGGAAGACTTGCCTCCTCGTTAAGGAACTCCAGGTATGCCGTGCTCTCGTCCTTGGCATCTGTGGGCTCCTCCTCTTGCTCATCTTCTGCTGCCCACGCGGCCTCATCATCTCCCCACTCTTCCTCGTCGTCGTACGCATAGTTCGCATCAAGGCCGTAGTCATCCTTCATAGCGTCCTCACGATCTGCAGCAATGTTAGTGATCCACGTCAATTTTTCGTCAGGGTAGAGACAACTTACTTTTCAGCGCAGATGGAAGCGTTTTGAACAACGAGGTGACACCCTTGCAAAAAGTCAGTAAACATTATTAGGCAGTGTCTTGGACCGTGACTGAATTGACATACCTGAAGCAATCGAGGCCATCCGACCGCGACACTTGGTGGCACTTGGTCGGGATTCAGACCCAGAAGGGCCACAATGGCGACAATACAGAGTTTCTTGTCGTGGACCCGGTGGAACGACTCCATACTACCAAACCACAAGCTGAAGAACTTGTTCGTCCAGCCTTTTGTCTCGAGGACCTGGAGTGTCAAGATCGGGTTGTAGTAGATGGCATTGATGATGATTTCCATCAAGTGGATCTTGTACGACTTGATCTTGACCTCCTCGGTCGTCAGCACTCCCATGGCCATGTTTATGAAACCATTGACACAGTTGTCGATGTGGCCAGGCAGGCTCAGCATCATGGCCTCGGCCAGTTTGCAAGCACAAATTCTGTCGATGCCGCCGACCTTGGGATCGTTGAACATGTCTGAAACCATCGAGTACAAAGCCTCCACATACTCGGGCTTTTGGATGAGTTGCGGTACACCAAACTGCACAAAATTGTCCAGAGCAGGAAGCATGTCCTCAAGGTACAGTTCAGCTCCCGCCTTGAAAGTTCGGTGGATGAGCTCGAAGGCCTGCCACATGGTGGGTGAGATGGCCTTGGCGGCGAAGGTACAGCTGTCAATGATCTCAAACACCTCGTTGTACAGATCTAGTATGCATTAGCATGGCACATAATCGTTGGATTCGAGGTGGTATACATACCGTAGAGCTTGTTGTCTAGTGTAATTTGAATCACCGGCATGAGCACTGCCTCGATGTGCAGCAGGACGTCGGGCGTACTCTCGAGGGTGAGGATTAGGGTTCCTATAGTCTGCAAAACACCCAAGGCTGTAATGCTCTTGTCGTCAAGGAAGTCGCCGTACTCATCGTCGTCTCGCGAGTTGTTCCTCTCAAGGAGTTCGTTGACAATTCGGAGGTAAGTGTCACGTAGTTGCTCACTGAGGGCAACGGCGAAGGGCGTCAGCTCAGTGGCGAAGACTTCAACGAAATCCTCCATGACGTTAGCCAGAGCATCGATGTCAGCCTCATTTGCCAATTTCAGAAGCTGTTGCATGATCGTGGGAATCGCCGTCTGCATGCTAGTGCGGATGATGTCGTGCCGAATCAGAGGTTGAAGCGCGAGTGCCGCCGTGACACGGACTGGAAGGGCTGGATCGGCCATGCAGTCCAAGATATTACGGTAGATGGTGAGTAGATGGTTCTGGTCCTTGAAGTCGAGTTGCTCGAACTTCTCGATAGTGTCACATGCCCGGGCGCGGAGGTACCCCTGACTGCTGGTGAAGTCTGGGAAGACGTATCGGACGAGGAAGTATTCGACCTGGTCGGCGATCGGTGACTTTTTGCCGAGAATGACGGGTGCGAGCGTTCCTATCATGCGCAAGGCGCCCTCCTTGGAAATGTGGTCCTTCTTATCATCCGGCGCAGATTCGTAGGTGCTCACAACATTGTTGATGAATTGCAGCAGCTCAAAGGTCTGCTTACGGCGGTTCTTGGTCAGTGTCACCAGGAAGTTGGTCGCAGAGACGTCTGGAGCTGAGACTTCCTCGTAGAAGTTCAGTTTTCGATGGAGATACTCCTCGGGCTCGTCCTCAAACTTCTCTATATCCTCCTGAGACAGGCAGAGCACCGGGAAGATGAAGTGGGTGACGAGATTGGTGAGGTGAGGCCGCAGGTGTGCCCACATCTCCTTGGGCCGTACGCATTCGTCCATAAAGACAATCGTGTACGACAAACAAGGCCTGCTCAACCAAGACGTTTTCGACACCCACTTTTCGATCTCCTGGAGGTAATGTTTGAGGACTTCGGGTGCGATGTTGGTGGAAAAGAAGTTGGCAAAGGCCATTTGATCCCCCTCGTTCTTGGTAATTGCTTGTGGGTTGCCGTGCCTATTGCGCAGTTAGCTTGCGGTATGAAACATCAGGAGTCAATAATCTTGCCTTATATATAGCCTGTTAAGGTTGAAATATGCCCACTTCTTTGCCTTCCACCAGTGATGCCGTTCGCGCTCGAGGGGCTCTTCTGACATTGCGATAGCGGGGGCGGTCTTGGAGACTGTTTGCAGAAAGACGGTGCACCAGCCTATCGTGTTCTGTTGCTGGCGAAGGAAGGCAGATAGATCGAGCTGTATCAAGGCATAAGAGTCAGCTGCCTGCCATGACTACTCACAACAGAATGCAGGGAGGCACTTTACTAACCCATGTCGCGTGCTTGTAAGCTTTCAAAGCAATGTGGAGCATCTCCCCGGCCTCTTCGCTCTCCTGTCCTACGAGCTCGGTGGAAATGGCTAGCAGCCTGGGAAAACTGGCCTCGATAATCTTGTCGAAGTGCGTCCTGTTCTCTCCATCGCCGGCCTTGAAGCGGTAGGCACGGCAGATGGCCAGCAGACATTGCAGACCGGCGAGGACTGACAGCGGATCGTTTGTGTTCAGTAGTTGGATGGTAAAGTCCATAAAAGTAGGCCATTTCTCGGGGAAGTCCCAGTGTAGGATTCTTTGCAGGATGGGGATGAGCTGTTGTCGGATGAGGCCTTGTGACGAGGCCAGGATGGGCAGTAACCGGTCGCGGACTCTCGACTTTTCATCTTCGGCTATGGGATGCTCGTTGGGGAAATGGTCTGTCCCTGCCCAGGCTCGGTTGACGCGGTTCTTGATGTAAATGACGGCTGCAGGACGCGTGAGTTAACAGGGCTTGGTAGGGGAAGGCAGCTCTTGGAGCGCGGGGGGTTCCTGGGGCTGAGCCATGAGGTTCGAGGAGAGCTGGCTGGCCAGAGATGGCACGTACTGGAAAGGCGGTAATTTGTGTCCTGCTCAGACTGCAAGATGTCGAGGAGAGCATCGAGAAACCCATTGTGTTCCTCTGCCTGCAAGCCACGGGTGGAATCAGCATGGGACGCGTCCATAGGGTCATAATAGACATGGACAGTCAGGGCAAGGCGGGAGATGGAGCGGCGCCATGGCCTGGGTGGCCACGGTGTCGAGCCTGGGGCCAGAGGGCGAGGGCGAGGGCGAGGGCGAGGATCGTGGGCAGCAAGGAGCACGGCATGTGCGGCGGAGTGGGCGTCGTACCTGTTTGAGTTGCAACTCGGCCCTCCTGCGAATGTCGGCATCGGCGTCGAGGGTTGCTATTATGCAACTTCTAATGGCGGAGGCATCCATCTTGGCGTCAAGATGCGGGCCTGTACATACAGAGCGGTGGTGGGTTGTTTGCCTCGAGGCAGAAGAGGGAAGGGAGGGATTGTGTTGATGCGTGTGTCGTCCGTCTGCTCTGCTCTGCTCTGCGGCCTGCGGTGCGGTGCGGTGCGGTGCGGTGCGGTGCGGTGCAGTGCGGTGGGTGAATAACGCCGCTTATCGAGGGTGGCACCTAACAAAATCTTTTGGCGGGCAGAAAAGGCAGGCCAGAGCAGGGCAGGGCCGCAGCGGGGCAGCGGAAACCAATTGCAGTACGGATCCAGGGGTCCTAGCGATCTGTGACAGCACAGTCGAGGCTGAGTGTCCGACGTGGGGTTGTCTCTTTTTTTTTAACCCTCAATATTTGCTTTGCTGCATACATTCCTCTCTCTCACCAGATCAAGGCCAAACCGCACGAGGCTACCATTCGTCCTATTCCAGCTGTTACAGACGGTTGGATGCAGCTTTGTTTGCACCGTAGAGTCGAGGCAGAGCCCGATCCAGAGCCTGAGGACTGGACGTGAAAAGCTCCACCTCCTACCGAGTCTAGACGGCCGGTTTCTTCAGGCACCAAGCATGGAGGGTAGGGTAGGACTTGAAGAGGCTGAACCTCCTGGGCAGCCAGCCGGCAAGTTTGTGGTGGCACCAGCTCGCTCAGCTAGCTCTGCAGGGCCATTACATCCATCCTACTACTTGTGTGACCTTGCCCTGCTACTTGGTGAACCACAAGGAGGGTGCCCATAACAACGACAACTTCCATCCATCCTGCCAAAGCACATCGAATTGATGGATCAAAAACGTGACCAAGCAGGTCATGACAGGGGCTTATAAAATGTTTGGTCAGAATCCTCCCAAGTGCACCCAAGCGTAACCCAACGCATAGAAGGCTGCTGGGTTCCACCGAAAACAACCAATCCAGCCTGTCTGATTCGTCAAACACTTATAGGCACTTGGTTGGTTGCCAAGGGCAGGGCATGGCAGGGCAGCAAGGTCGCAGGAAACCTGAGAACGGGCTAATTACATGTAGATCAATCAGTCTGCTTCTTGGTCGATCTAATGTGGCAGAACCCTCACTCTCTCCTCTGAAAAGCACAAAAGGGGCAACCGCCTGAAATGATAAATACTACCTACATATCACATACACCGTTAAGACAACGCCGCCACACCTTCAAAATCGCTACACGTCATTACGGAGCCCCCTGTGGCTTATTTACTTCCTTCTCCAAAAGTTATACCACTAAAACGTATTCCACAGGAGTTTATGCCACAGGAGGTTATGCTACTGGAGGTTATCCCTTGCGGCAAAGTATCCTACCAGAGAATATCTTAGAGTCAGTTGCCCTCGAGAGATCACTTTCTTATTCTATAACCCCTCCCCCTTTCCCCCCTACTTAGTCTACCTAAACATTGCGGCCGCGAAGCAGACACCCGAGCTTAAGCTCGTAACACAAAAAAGATATATATCCTTTACTTACTTCGCATTACGTGGCATATTACTGAGGGTTCCTGTTCAAACTGTTTCACAGCTTCCTCCGGATTAATGCGTAGTCTGCGCGCGGCCCCTTCTGGACTGCCAATCGGGGCCCTTGGCGGGACACAGCTCCATGACCGGCAGCTGACAAAAAAAACACTGGATGAAGGCCGGTCTCAGCACTACGCTGGCCACCGGTTCAGGCCGGAGGAACGCTGCTTTTGCGGACTACCGCTCTTCCCTGTCTGTGATGATCTTGAATAAAAATAACTGCTTGCTCAGGGGTCACTGTACATCATTGCCGCCTTTCGTCCGGGTCTACACTCGTGGTCACATGTGCACCCATCTCATGTGCACTCATCTGGTAGAGCAGCCTCGCAGCCAGGCACGGCCGGCCGCTGCGCCGGGAAACTGAAGTGTTTATACAAAAATAAAACCACCAGCAGGGGGAGAGAGTTGAAGTGATAGCTGCCATGAGTATGAAAACCCTGTCGTGCTTAATTCCACCGAGGTCATCCCCCCGGGACATAGCTACGTTTTATGCAACAGGCACTAATTCTGGGCAGAAAGCTGAGAACAAAATCTTGACAGTCAGCAGTACAATCCTTGGTAGTATCATCATAGATTAGGGCAACGGGTCGGGCACAAATCTGGCAGGTCGTGATATGCACGGCGATGCTTTTTTTCTAGATGTTGGGGAGTACCTCTCCGCGCTCTTCGCAGCATACTGGTGAGGAATGACGCAGTGGCCCGGGCGGACTACTGAACAGTTGCCAAGTCGTTGTAAAATATCACATTAATAAAGCAATCACGTTGCGCCATCAGAGATATACATATTATAAGTGCCTTCAAAAGTCATCATTACCAGAACGTGCCATCCTCGTTAAGCTCGTACAGTCGCCATCCTGCCAAGTCATTCCCAAACAAGCGGCAAGCACATGTCTAACGCTCTCCAGACCCATTTTTAGCCTTTCCACCTCCCCGGCCCCATACCCCAGGTTAACACCAAAGCGCCTTACAGTCAAACCCGCAAGCCCAACCTTCCGCGACGGGAAGCCTTCATGTCATCATTGCAACCGTCCCGAGAACGTTTGACGTAATAACAGCCAGTGCTTTCGATCCTATCCCAAGTAATGCGAGTGGAAGACCCTGCCTGCTACTTGTCCATTGATCCCTGGATAAGGGAGAGCTGAAGAGTCCTGGGTTAGCGATCCGTCCGTCGAATCCATACCACTTCCACAATTTCAAGTCACTACAAGACACTGGTTTCAAGAGGAGCCATGTCCAGAGCCGTCCGGAGTCAAAGAGGTAAAACACGAGAAAAAACATACGCGTTTGGCTGACCAAGTCAGGGCACGGAATATGACTTGGCCGGGTTCCATTGTTCCACTGGCTTATCCTGAGGGGCATCCGTGAATTGCTGTGATCGAAGACTTGGTGGCCAAGAATATTCCCTCTCAAAGGTATCCCACGATGGAGTGTTGCAATAGGCTTGCACAAGAAAAAGAAATTCAAGGTCCCGGCAATTCGCGCGTTGCAAGGCCCTGTGCCTGCTTCTGGTAGAGTGCGACTGTTCCAGTCTGTAGCAGTAGCCAAAGCAAACATTTCCGAGGGACGGAGAACCGTTTTGAGTACTTGGATCAGATCATCGATCTGTCAATGTCGCACAAGAAAGTGGGAATATGGAATCCCAAGCAGCAGGAAAAGGAAAGTCCTGCGTGGCTTTGATGGTCCGGATCGGGGTCTCAGCGAGACGACCGAGGTCCTTATATCTTACCACCAATAAGCGGAGACAGACGTCTCCATAGTAAATTTCGTGTGTGACCTTGCCAGGAAGGATGAGGTTTCTAGTCTGTTTAGACTAGAGGGACCTCGATGGAATGATCCCAAAGATCGGTGTCCTTGAATAGAGAATGTCCTGTGCTCCATCGCAATCTGAACCAGATGCGGCTTTCCTGTGGGAATCATCCTAGAGAGGAATGTCTCGAGTCCATCTTCCAAGGGCTTTGCTGGGCACTTTGAGGCATCCAGCGCTGTTGATCCAAGGTAGGTCCTGGAGACGGCTTGTCTCATCAACAGTACGGTCCGCAGTGATGACCATGGTGATCCGATCCGGCATTATCCAAAGGGGATCCAGTCCATGGCGAGTAGTCCTGGAATGACCTGGGCTTGAATGAGTCCAAGACGAGTCTGCGGTCAGTCAGTTGCAGTCGAGTATCAACAGGACTCCGAGCGGAAAGATCCGAACTGATTGATTCGAAAGTTTGGTGTTTCTCTTGTGTGGAGACTGAGCTGTATTTACAAACGCCAACCCACCTTGCTGTCCGGATGCTGACCTTACCGTTGTATCATGGGCGAAGGAACAGTAGCCGACCTCGACACATAAAACTCCTTCTGGGGCGGAGATGCATCATAATTGATGAGCATTAGACACTGCTTCCAGTTCCGTGATGGTCGGATCCGGACAGCAAAGTGCAGTGTGGTCCCAGTTGGGAAGCCGTCGAGGCTCAACAGTGAGCCTCTTTCCCCAGAGGACCCGGTCCTGGAAGAAAGCAACGCAACGGCAAAAGCATTGGGCCGCGTAAATTCACATAAATCATCAACACCGAGTATCATTCGCCCAGCGGGGATGCAAACTGTCGGAATCATCCAGAGCTATGCAAGCGAAAATCCACGTCCAGGGGGGTAAAGTCCGGGAATAGATCCGAAGGAACCAGAGCGCCTTGCCAGAAAGTAAAAATACCGCCCAGGTTGAACAAATCCAGTCGATTGGTCAAGGCGCACAAACTCAGGAGATCGGGATGTCCACGGGAAGCCTCGTCAACCCTGGGATAGATCGCGAGCAGATTCGACCCGCAGCGCGGGTGCCATTTCCAGGTAGAAAGAAAAGCATGCAAACTCCAATTCAAGCAGGGACCGCGTCATCAAACATCACTCACACGAGATTCCTGTTTCCGGTGCGGCGAACCGTCATCAAAGTGAATCTTTAACGGCGACGATGTCTGTCGTCGCGGTCCCGTTCGCGGTCGCTGCGGCGTGAATGTGATGTTCCACTATGTCCCGTTTGAGCCTGTGTACTGGAAGACGCAACTGGACGGGAAGGAGGGGGGGTCTGATTATCGTACTGGGGCTGGGATTCATACTGGCGGTCGTACAGTGGAGCTTGGCTGACGGAAGAGCCCATGATTTCGGCCTGGCTGGTGGATCCATATGGCTGGCGGCCAGCAAAAGCATCCACGGGTTGGGCAGGGTATGAGCCTTGGACCTGGGGGGAAGCGTAGTATGCCTGGCTTTGACCTGCATAGGCAGGAGTCGGAGCATAGGCGCGACCACTAGAAGCGTCTACCATCCTGCTGCTGTCCTGGTAAGGATCCTGTGATGTTCGCGCCTCAAAGCGCACAGGGGCATAGTAAGGCTGCTGGTCCTGCACATTTGTGGGATGGTTGGAGTAAGACTGGCCGTAGACCGAAGCGGATCCAGCGGCTGCCGGAGTAGCAAACCTGTTATCCTGTGCCTGGGGAGGGTACGCGGGCTGTTGGTACTGTGCACCATATCCTGATTGCCTGTTGTCCTGGTGGTAGGGCTGGGATCCGGTGCTGGCGCTGTATCCTGGGGCATCGCTTCCTGGGTATCTAGGCACGCTTTCATAAGAATCACGGCTTGGACCACTTGGGTAAGGCACTCCGGAGGTATCATACTGAGAGAGACCTGCACCACTGAAACGATTCTGTGAATCGCTGTACCTCGCTGGTGGAGAGTTAGACTTTGAACTTCTCATGAAGAATGCAGACGAATCGTGCGAGGTCATTGTACCTCCAGAATGATTCCGCCTCTCCTGTTCCCACCGAGCCGAGTCGGCCTTGAGGTCGGCGATCATAGCCTGCGAAAACGACAACACTTAGTATGGTTCGGTGTGGTTGAATCTAGCGGAGAGGCACGTACCGATGTCAAATTCCTGTAGGCTGTAACAAAGTAGCCTTGTATTACTCGGCCCGTCTTCTTGTCCTGCCGCAGATGTGGTATTAGCACGACTGTCGACTGTCGACGAGCAAGTGTGGTCTCGCGCGGGTTATTCATACTTCGTAGGTGCCGGGCCGAACGAGGGCGTCGTTGCCGAGGTAGCGACAGATGTCGGCGGTGATCACCTCACGGTCTATGCCGTCGCGAGGGATGAAATACTCATTCTGGCGGTTCGAAGCATTCGACGGCGTGCCAGAGCCGTGGTCTCTTCTTGAAGACATCGTGGCTTGATGTGCGGGGAGGGGAGAAGATCAAGTGCAAGGTATGTTCCAAGCAGCTATGGGAGTAACAAGGGAAGGGGAGGAGATGTGAGTTAGTCTGGAAGGGGGAGACAAGTCCTCAAAAGAGTTACTGGGAGGCGGGAGAGAAGAGAAGAGAGGCACGCAAGACAGAGAAGTTGGCAACGGAGGCGAGGCGAAACGGTTGAAAAGGTGATGATGGAGGGGAAAGACTGGGGGGAGACGTGGGAAGAAAAGGACCAGGACCCAGACCAGGACCCAGACCCAGACCCAGAAGGCCCAGGACCAAGAGACCAAGAGACGGGAAAGAGCTGGCTGGAGCAGCAAGGCAAAGAGTTGGGGGGTGGGGCCCGCGACTTCCCAGGGCCAGCAGAATTCGGGGGGAAGGGATTGGGTACATGGTGCTCCCGTCCTGGTTGGCAGCTTGGCTGGGTACCTGATTGTACCGGGTGCCAGCTTGTACACGACACTCCAACAGTTGCACAAGGCGTACAGTACCTCTGAGGGGGCCCCAGGTGGTGACTCGCCGTTGGCTGGGAGTCCCGTGGCTGGGCCGCAGCCTGACTGACGGGAGACCTCCCTGCCCGCTCGCCTGCCTGGCCAGGTCGCATGTCACTGTGCGCCTTCGACATGTACCTAAGCGGCGCCGAACAGGGGTTTCCCAGGCAGGTAAGGCAGGCAGAGCCCACAGACTTCGCGCGGCTTTCTGTGGGAACAATAGGAGCTGTACAGTAAGGAGAAATGCCTTTCGTTTCTCTCTGGCCGGCGAAATGGTTTCCGTTTCGAGCCCACTTGTCACCGTGTGGTACCGTGTGTGCAAACGCTGAGATGTCTCGATAGGGACGCCGATGGACAGCAGCCCTGGCGAGCGAAGCTGATCAGAGAATCGACCCGGCTAACCTGCCCAGCACACCAGATAGGTCATTGCATAACTTGGCAGGCCGTCAGCGCACATGAGTTGGCGTCAGACTTGCTTCGTGGGATCCGGAGTCCTGGACACGGAGTGAACATGTGCCTGCAAAGGTAACCTTGGAAAGAAGGAGGGGAGGGGAGCGGCCAGGCGACAGCCCATCCATCCACCCCGTGTGTGGTCAGGTAGATAGAGCAGAAACCAATCCAATGGCCTGGCTCTGTCTGCACCACGGCACGTCCCAGTCCAGCGCAAGCAGGCAGGCAGGAAGACGTTGGGATGATTGGCGGCGATCTGCACTTGCGTGGACAGCCTTGGTTGGCTCGCAACTCTGATCCATGTTACCGCGTGAGGTGTCCCTAGCGCTGTAACGGCGACATTGGACGTAGCATGGGCTGACACAGCCAGGCCGGCCTGGACCAGGACCTAAGCAAGCCAGAAACCAGCGCCAGAGTGACAACAATGCTGCGATGCAGCGATGGTGGTCGTGGAAGGAAGACTATCACATACCGGCAGTAGTAATTTGTCTAGCTGTGGTATCCCCAATGAGCGGTGACGCCTGGCAGCGCTCGGCAGCGGAGAAGATCTGTGTGCGTTCCGGGCACGACTGTGTCGGACACAGCGGACGGGCACACGGGTCACGGCCAGCATCCAGCCAAAGCTGGATCCGGCCGGCCAGCACGATGCATGTTCCCTCCCTATCTGAGGAGACACGAGCGGAGCAATCGTCTGGTCTATCTTGGCAATGAGTGCATTTCCTGACTAGCGATGATTGTGACTGGAGACCGTCGCTGTCGTCGATAATGCGCAACAACGGGGCTGTCGTGTGAGAGAGGGACAGACGTTGGATCGTAAAAAGCGGTTTCGTGAAGCTCGGGCCGTATCAGCCATTGCTGCCCTACCTATGTCATTCCAAACCTTGTTCGGTGATCATTTCTGGTTCTTCATCTTTTGTCCGCTGCTTGGCGCCGGCAGCCCTAACAGTTCGGCTGGCCGGCAGCAGCCCCTCGGTAGGCGAACCTGGTCTTAACAAAACCCTAATAACCCAGAGCGCGGCAGTGACCTCTTCTATATTTATTGCAATGGGGTGCGGTTCTAGCACTCCGGCGCCTCACATCAGTCGAGCGCTCCACGGTCCGAGCCAGGCTCTCCATGTGTGTTTTTGCCTTGCTTTCCCTCCCTCTTCGGGGCAGCCTCAGCAGCAAAGCCCGCGTTGGTACCCGAGGGACATGGCTCTTCCCAGTGGCGAGGCCTTCAGATCCGCCTCCTCAACTGTGTTCGCGCCTCAGGCAGGAGATTGCACTTCGTGTCCTTGAACACAGCCCGGGAGCATCCAGCGCTCTCTTGGACATTCGTGTCCTCTTTGAGAGCCCGTCGTGTTCCAGGGCTGGAGGTCTGTCGGCTTGTCCTCGAACGACCCTGGAACTGAAAGTGTTTGTGAGCCGTCATCCCAACTCTTGTGCCCGTGCCCACAAAGGAGGCTACAGACCATTGGGTCGGGTTCACGAGGTTGCCATCCCCAGTGTGGCCACTTAAAAAGTGGGAATCTGCGGCGACCGTCCTTTGGGTATCAATGCCCCATGCCGTTGTGCCTAACGAAGCCTGCAAACAGGGGTGGGGCCTAAGCAGTTGGGGGCGGCTGAGGCCAATCAACCTCACGTTGCCTCGGTCACCCAAATGGATGGCCTGATGATGAAGACTATGTATTCCGTACCTGACCCAGCTGTCACTTTCCGAGCCCCGTACGGCAGTTACGCTCATCGGTACTATTCGAGAGGTACATTTCAGTGCACAGGTCGTGATACTAGTGCTGGCATAGCAATAAGTAGTCGATGACGAGTAAGCACGGCACGACAATCAGGCCCCATAAGTTCTCAGTGTATGTTATTGCTAGCCGCTCGGCTGATTCTCCTTCGTGAGTTAACGGCCACAACATGGCCGATCGTCAAGCTGGTTTTGAACCTCGAGTCGTTCCAGACAGGGGAAGCATGGATAGGACCAAACCCTCCATGAGTTTCCCAGGAGGCACCGGCTCCAGCCCCGGCGGCTGGCTCATTCTGGTCAGATGCGGTCCTTGTGCTCCGACATCATCATGGGACATGCGGCTAGCTCTCTTAATCAGTGCTGATCATTATACAGTAGACGAGTGTCTTGTCTAAGCCGTGTGGACATATCTTCACACGTCGTCGAATGTTGCTCGGCAGTCGCCTGTTGATGATCATGCTGCGTTGTGATGCCCGGGCTGGCGCTACGGGCCTGGGCGGCACCGCGTTCGAAGTCTTAGGAGCAGTCAACTGAGGCAGTTGCCGCCTTATCTCTCCACATATTGAAATGAGCTTCGGGGATGTCAGGGTATCCCAAGACGCCTGTGTCCGGTGCTCAGCCAAGTGCGGTTCAGTGTGATTCTGCTCGAGGTGCCATTTTGGAGTAACGTGGGTGAGACTCGGAAGACAAGATGTAGTGTGTCATCCAAATTTCAATTTGCTCTGTCCGACCTCCATCTTCTTTCGTTTCGTGGGCCGTTTCGCTGATGCAGCTGTGCCTTTGTTATCTCCCTTGCTTGAAGGGTGCCCAACAAATGTGTGGCTGCCACGTTCCTCCTCTTGGAGGTCCCTAGCGAGGTGCTCGTCTTGGTGGCATTGTAATTGTTCAGAATCCTCGAAGCTCATGCTGCAGCGATGGCATAGGTAGGATATCGGTTCCTGCAGTTGACTGTCACTACTGGCTTCTCTTTGTGCAACCAAATCTGCAGGTTCCCATCCCAATATCGAATTTCCGATGTGCCTGTGAGATGTTCCACCACCGCTCTGTAGGCCAGTGGCTGGATTCAGAGGACCCTTCTCATCATCGTGATTTTCGATCGATGTCGGTTTCGAAAAGAATCTATGGATTCCCTCTTTCTCCAGTTTTTTATGTTTCTCCAGCGGCTTGGAAGGCAGTGCCTCGGTTGAACCTTCTCGCGATATTCTCTTCAGAGACTGTGCCTCCTCGCCCTTCACTAAGAATGCTCCGATGCCCATGTTGCCGCTTATGCCTTCATCGAAGCCGCCGACACTAAGGGAAAGGTTTGAACCTAGGTCACATGTCAGCTCTTGTCTCATCCACGGCACGGATGGAGAGACACGATGCGCGGCATGGTTAGTATTTGGTGGGACGAGTTTCTCTTCGCTTGGAACACATCTGGTCACGCAAGTGCTTACATGGCCATACTTTGCCCTCAAGGACAATTTGGTTAAGGAGGTTTGTGGCGAGGTCAAGCAGCAACTCCTTGTCGATTGGCCTCCCCTGAGGAATGGGGCCCTGCCTTGACCGTGTCTGGCCACCATGCCGGTGATGGAGATTGATCGTCCGAGGACGTCGCTTGTTTTCAATAACGCCTTCCTCGACTAATCGAGAGAAGATATCGCTCACGAAGATTCTAAGCCACTTCACCGCCGAGTCCACACTGTTGATACTGGGGCGAAACGACTTCGCTGACAGCATTGATTTGATCTGAACACGCGAGTTGACTTCACTGTTGTCGATACCTCTGATCGTATTGTGAACCCAAGTCCCCGTATCATCTCCAAGCTTGGACTTGAGCTGCTCTACAGGCACCAGTAATAGATCGCTGACGGACTCGGTGCCGAAAGTCTGAGCAATTTGGTCGCCCAGCTTGCCTCCCAGGTTCCGGATCTTGGTGAACTTAAAGCCCGACAGGAATTGCCGGGTAGCTCGATGCCGTATCACGGTCTGTCCATTAGGCTTCTTGTGACCGGAGCCCAATTTACTGAGCATCTTGTTGCTTGCGACACCCTGTTTCATATCGTATGAGCCTTGAGTACGGGGAATACCAGCCTGACTCTGCTTGATTCGACACATCAAATCGAGGCGGGAGGGGGAGGGGGTACGAACAGCGGAACACGTGTACTTGAGTTGGGCACGAATGGTTGCTCGGACATCACGAACAATCTCTGAACCTATTAAAAGAGCAACATCGTTCCAATCGGGATCATCGGTTTCCGTTTCCGTGTCGTCAAGGTCAACCAGCGCGTCTGCTTTCCAATCCAGCGCTGTTACTGGCGGCATGGGCAATCTTTCAGTTGGGTCATCGTAGGGAGGCGGGTTCCTGAGCTCAGGAAAGCGTTCCAGAAGAGTTGCATGCACTTGGGCCGAGAGGTCGATAAACTGCTGCGTGTCAGCTCCGAAGTGATACAGAGATGCTGGCGGACGAGGAACGCAGTCCCAGGAGTGCTTACCACCTCGTCTATAGAAGCTTTCTCAACCTTCTGAAGGTTTGCCGGGAGTGATTCTTTGATCAAAGCTAGAATCTTCCTCGACTGCAAACGATATCTAGATCCGATACAAATTAGGTACTCGTTGGGCCAAACGACGACTACCAAGAGGAAGATCGAACAATTGCAAGGGCACTCACGGGTCCAAGGAGACTTTGTCAGTACTCATGACATGGTCATCACGGTACGCCCAGTTTTCTTCCCCCTCCCTCCAAGTTGCCACGTGCTGGCAGATCAGATTATCACACATCTCTTTGGCTTGGTTGATGTCGGTGAATCTTCCGACGCCGCGATCGCGGGCAGGGTAGTTGACGGCAATAAGGCCTTGCCATTGCTGGACAGCAAGAGGCTGGTCATCAGGGAGATCAAGCCGACGCATCTCACACTGGGCATAAAAGGCGTCAAGATCGATATGGGCCACAACTCTCAGAGGACATGATGTTGGATACGAGGCCAGTGTGTTGAGGTGGCGATACGTGAACTGAGACCTTGTTCGCCCAGGAGCTCCGGCCGGGGAAGACTCCCGGAAGCTTCTTGGGGACGAGGACATTCTGTTGATAGATGCATTGAGGAGAGAATGCCAGGAGCTCAAGGCATGGTTGGTCAGATGCGGTTTTGCCAGAAGTTGTCTGTCGGTTGGCCGCGGCGGCGGCGTCGCGACGAATATCAGGCGCGTCAAGCATTGGCCGCTAGCACGGCGCCTCGCATCAAGGGGACCCTGCTCCCATCCTTAACAGAAATATGTGACAATTGAATACGCCTCTGTTAGTGTGACGGCGCCGTCGTTGAGAGTCACCAGACGAACAAATGGAATCCAGTTCCTCCCAAGATCATTCCATTCCCAGTCTATCATCTTTGACGGATCTCAGATCTACCTCAAGCCAAATCTTGGCATCCATCAATCATTCTACCTATGCGAATCGTGAGCCAAGCAACAACCAAGCTCTAGCTGGCTCTAAGCAACCATCCTCCACCGAGAAGCATACTGAGGAACCCCTAAAAAGCAGGTAGATAGCTACATCGCTCATTCGATTATCTTCAAAGCCTACACTTCATACAGCTATGACTTGAAATCCTCAGGCTCTCCTGTTCGGAAGTCCACATCTAAATTATAGTCAGTTGGAGTATGTGCTGGCCACATGATCGCTAGACGAGGATGTTGTGCAGCAGTTCCTGCAAGCGTGCGCCACAGACGTATGTGTGCAGGTCGTTGCTCATCAGTTAGCATTCACCAACACGCATGAAAACCGGTAACCCTTTTCGAGGATCTCAACGACTAGTCATCTGGACACGGAAACGCAGCCACTCCGTGTCATTCATGTCAGCGCCAAAGGACCGCCATGTAAGAGCTTGACGATCGAGGAATGCCTCAAGTGGGGAAATAGACCATAACCCCCCGTTGCTCATGCCGCGCGATATCCGTGCGAGTGCTGCTCCGTATGCCGTGCTCGAGTTCGGGGAGCGTTCGAGACCGGCTGTGATACGACCCTGTCTCGCCTCTCTTCCCGGATGCCCATCACACCACCTTGCAGTCGCATCACATTGCGCGCGGGAAGCGACCTAATCTGGCGTCAAGTTGCATTGCTTTGGAGGCTGTTGTTTGACGTGGCACGCAGCCTTCAGTCTCCTTTGAGAAGTGGCGGCACCGATCCTTTTCTAAATAGGTATTCGCATGTGGCCAAGATATTACGGGACTGTTCCAACTGGAAGGCTAGATATTCCAGACTTGTCCGTCTGCTTCGGGCCCATCAGAGCCGAGACAATGGTCGATAGCTCGAAGCGCCCATTCAGTGTCCAGTGAGACATGGCGTTGAATGGCCAACAGACGTATTCTGAGCCTCCAGCGGAGTGTTGGCAACAACAGACTGAGGATTCCCCGCATCTCTGGGAAAATAGCAGGTATATCGTGATACTCCCCCTTGGAAGTCCGTTCTTCTTCTCCTTCGTAGACAGGGCGTCATCGTTGGTCTGGCCTTGACTCTTTGTCTTTCCTCTTTCTTTGATGCATATGAGTCGGAGACTGTGGCTTAGAAGATAGTCCGCTCCTTCATATCCGCGTCGGTACCTACTTTGATGGTCTCGACTCGTACTCGAAAAACTATCACGAGCCCCCAACGTTGAGAATACAGCTGCCGCCCCAGACGGATGGGCACAAGGCACAGCAAGCCTTCTTCAGGTACATCCTATTGCGTAAATGCCTCATATCTCATCATACCCTTAGTCTATCCTCTGATGGCCTCTGCTAATTCTGAACAGCGTAATTGACTAGGAGCCTCGCCTATTCCTCTTACATTGCGTCCAATCGCTAGATGTCTGAGTATCGTGGCATCAGGGTCGATCAAGCCGCGATATGCTAGGCTACCACTGTTACTACGACTCATGAAAAGATCGGCCGCTTCCCCCGACAGGCCGTGTGCATGTAGTGTCATGCAAATGTGTAAGCTTGGAGTGTTGGCGTCATATGCTATGGCAAGGCTCTGTGTACCCGGCTTCTCAGGTGTTCTCATCTGCCGGTAAGAGACCTGTCGAATTGCTTTGTCCCTGCCGCTCGGTATTGTCCGTCTCGTCTCGCCTCCCTAGAAGGATGTTGTTGCGTCTAAGACGGGCACCGGAAGGGCGCGTCGAAGCTTACTAGCCCGCAATTTTGAGGGCATTGGACGAAAGTGCATGTTCAGGTAGCCGGCAACACATGAGACACAAGTTCATACTTCCCACAGCGATGGATCAGGATACTTCAGGTTACAATGGCGCCTACACATCCTATCACGTCGTCGACCAAGCGTTGTGTACCCAGATGGACATCAACAGGAAGCCCGACAGCAGTGCCTGAAAAGTCACCGTGCATGTCCGTACGCCTTTGTCGAACCATTCAGGCTGTGAACTGGAGTCGCCAGTTTACGGATTAAGGACTCGCGTGCCGAGCGTTGCCCGAACAATCCCATTTCCTTTGCCATTGCGAAGTCTGCTGAGCACCGCAGCACAAGAAGCCCCCCCATGCATGGTAAGCACACTCTTGTCCTCCTCCCCCGACTGACATCGCACGAGTAGTAGAAGCACCTATCAGGCTCTGAAGAGAATAGATATCGCTATAGTCTCGATGCAGGGCGGCGCCGCCGGCTCGGTGTTGAACACCCCCTGATTCCTTCCCGGCCTTCATTTTCCACCCACCCAACCAAGTTCTTTGGTCCAATATTCTGTTTCGAAGCAATCCTTCCACGCCTTCTCCGAACGCCTGACCATGATGATCCAAGCCGCTTCGCAGTGTCCGGGGCCACGACAGCCTCTTGGGGTCACACACCGTCCGGAGCACACAGCGCAACCGTGAGGCAACGTCGCATGCTGCTCACGGATGTGAATCCTATCTGGGCCTTGTGGGGGTTGGTTTGCCCGAAGCTTCGACAATACTGACGTCTCTGAATCGTCGAAACGCGGAAGATCATCTCGCTTGTGCCATGGGGCTCCCCTGCTCAGGGCATCATGGTGGTTCTCAGCGCGGAAGGATGATCGTGTCTGCGATCCTGTGCTGAGGCCATACCGACATTGTATCTTACGCGTGAGAGTGACCCGCGGCCGAAAGTATAAAGTGGAGCGATATCACCAGCACCATGGAATCGATGGATAGCGATCAACACCTGGCAAACTTCACATCAAGACAACCCATCCACGAGTGCCAATATCAGACACATCCGTCCAGTATCTCATCCGCCGCATAAACGCTACATTGGGCTCCTCTCCAGTCTTTTTTACCGAGCAACCTTTTTACCAAGCAACCGTTTATTGAATCTAAATATCAGACTCATGTTCGTTCCCAGACAGATGATACTGCGCCAGCACTGGCGAAGACTGACAAGATCTCACTAGGGCCGCCTACAAGCCTCAGTTCAACGGGAACTGGTACTGCTGCGTGTGCAAGTCGAACAACGGCGGAATGCTTCGGAATCCGAATAGCGCAAATAGCGAGGTCTGTGAAGAAGCTAGCTGCTCGCACAAGAGGTGTAGCTGCTGTGAGAAGGCATAGGCCATTGGCCCCAGATGTGACTCGGAGATGACCGAGCATGAGCAGTGACGGAGGTCAAAACTAAGGACAAGGGTGGAGGGAGTGTATGTATGCTGTGGCTAGTGATGCTTCCCAAGTGAGACCGTTGGGGGCCGTTGTGATAGTGCCAAATTCAAACAGATTTCCGCACCCTCTTGTCGTCCTTCCGAATCAGTTAAGAGCCTCGGCTGGAAGCAAGGGACTTCTGTCCCTCGGATCGACAGATTCGGGCCTTTTCACGGCATCGCTCACAGATCTGGCGACGCGTCAGCTTCGATAACTTGAAGGCTAGCCCGTGGCAGTCAGGAAGTCGTTTGCGATGGATGTTAACTGCCCTTTCCTGGGTCATGTCAAGTTTGTTTCCTACTGTACTAATCATAGTGTTGTCCAGTTTTGAAATCAGTTGGCCCTGAGAGGGTCTTTTTTGGGAAATAAAGCGGAGTACCCAACCCCAAGTGACAACTGCGAGAAAATTCCTGCAATATTATATCCACCAACATGCGTCTGGCCATGACACTCACGCAGCCATTTTGGTTTTCAAATTTTGGCTTATAGGACTGACTGTTTCTGCTATCTAACTTGATTCCGAGAGTCTACTATTGAGGCTACCGAGCCTTTCTGAGAATCTCGGAATTGTATTATCGCGATGAGGCTCCAGGCGCGTGGCAACACAGTGAGACATCACGAGACGAAGCGGGCCAGCAGGTCAGAGTTGGATGACACCCTCCTATCCTACCCTTGAGGAAAGAGAAAAAGAAACCACGAGTACCAGACTAGGGAAGATCGGTCAGATCTGGACCTGCAAAGCAGCCCTAGGTGATGGGCAGGCTTGCCACGAGGTGACCCAGGCTAGGCATCCACGAGGCTGGGCCGCCCAGAAATGAGAAACCTGAATTTCAAATTTTTCCAAAGCTTCCAAGGCTCTGGGAGGCCGGAGAACCCCTAAATGCGTGCGGCTCCGACCATCACCTCCTTGCAGATCGATGACAGGAGGGTAATGTCATGCCTTGAGCCGTGGACGCCGTCGCCTTCCCCCTTAGCATCTATGTACACTGTGGATGTTTGACCCCGGAATTCCGGAGACCAGCCGACTTTGCCGCAATGTCATCACATTCTTACAATGTTTATTTGTGTATCTGTACCTGAGCTCCAGAATTCGGCGAGTGAGTGATGTTCCTTACTCAAATGCCTGCATATTGGGCCGGCGTCCGAAGTGAGACGGTAGCCTTGAGCGACCGGTAGCACCAATGAAAATGACTTCCCATTGCGGATCTCAGCTTATGCCGATGGCCCCTCCCTCCTGCAAAATACAAATGATCGCAGAACTTCAAGCGGAATTATGAGGCGTTGTATGAGGTGGGAACTCTATATAAATGTGTGACACACATGTGAAAGCGTTATTCTAACGCCACCTAATGTGTCACAGTCCCACAAATACTTACATGCCACACATTTGCTGGGACCTCTTTGGACGCGTCGGACTATCAAGTCAGAAGTAGCCACATGATTCGACCGCTCGCGCTTTCAGTTGTGTACATCCTTCCTGGTGGTTGCTTGCCGCTTCAGCCGCATCGCGGGTAGAGAGCGTGAACAATACAAGACACAATGCTAAGCTTCCCATCATGCTCTAGATGATGCCACAAGACTTTGGAGGAACACTTCTGTCACATGTTCAGAAACAAAGGGCTTTCTACCTCCTGCAAGCAAACACCGCCTGTAAATATGCAGCAGCAGTCTCCCACCGTGAAACATGGAGAACATCCTGGCGCAGGATAACACTCACGGTAGCAGCACCAACAGCCTCCTCCCCTTAACATGAATATACATCATGGCAGTCCTCAACACAGCCGTAGCGGTCGCACTTCCTATCTTGACACTACTGGCCTTCCCCTACCATCGTGCTACCCATCGCCGCCCATACAATGGCATCCCGTACAACCCCCACTCGACGCGCCGGCTCTTCGGCGACATGCGCGAGCTCACAGCTAAGGCGCAGCGCCACCGCGACCCGGCCGGGATGACTCTGGCGCAGTTCGGCCGGCTGGAGAGCCCCGTGATCCAGCTGTTCTTCATGCTGTTCTGGAGGCCGACGGTGTACATCAGCGACACGGCGAGATCGACGACGTGCTGCAGAACCGGCTGCGCGAGTTCGACAAGTCGCCGGCCCTAGTACTCCCCTTCAAGCCGCTGGTGCCGGGCCCAAGGGCCCGGAGTGGAGGGCTCAGGTCGGGCTGTGGAGCGACATCATCAGCGTCAGCTTCCTGCGCGACTAGGCCGCGCCCATCGTGCACCGCGCCGCGGCGGAGCTGGTCGAGCTTTGGCGGGTGAGGGCCCGTGTCGCGGACGGCAGGCCGTTCTGGGTCCAGAACGACTTTAAAACTTCCACGTACGATGTCATCTAGAAGGTGCTTCTGGGCTCGGACGTCAACCGTGTCAACAGCGAGCGCGAAGCTGTCCTGGAGTGGGAACACGCTATTGAGCAGCCCGCGTCGAGGGACGAGCCTGCTGAGATGGCCGTGGCGCCTCTGCGCGAGGAGTTCAAGGCTGGGACGTATTTCGCAGACCTGATCCCTGCGACTTTGATTCCGCCAATTCGGGGAACTCTGCATTTTCTTTGGTCACTGGCGCCGACGTGAAGGCGGCACTGGGCCACCAAACGTCGGCTAATGAATGAGCTTCTTGTGCTATCGAAGGCGCGCTTCGCTGGCCTCGGCGACGCGAAGGATGTCGAGGGCGTCGCTAAGGTTCGAGATGTGTTCGCCTTGGATTAAGCATTGCGCCGTTTTGGAAAGGTGCCCCAACTGATATCGACCGGTCGAGAATGGACGGTATGTTTGATGAGCTGTTCCTGCTCTCGGTATCCGTTAGTATTTCCCGGACACTCGACTGTACCACGAAGTCTCCCGTCCACGAACAAAAATTCTAATCTCTACGCGACAGGGCCACGAAACAACCGCGTCCCTCCTGTCCTGGACAGTCAAGCTCCTCATCAACGCCGCAATCGAGCAAGCCAAGCTGCGCGACTCACTGCGAGCGCACTTCCCGTCCATCCCGTAGACCCCGGCCGTCGAGGCGATCCTAGCCGCCAACATCCCCTACCTCGACGCCTCTATCGAAGAGCTGGTACGCAAGAGCAACGCCATCCCAGAGGTCGTCCGCGAGGCCGCTTGCGACGCGCAGCTGCTGGGCCACCGCGTGCCAAAAGACACGACCCTCGTGTGCTGCACGTACGTCGCGCACAAGCCCTTTGACGTGCCGGATGGCGCCTGGAGCGCGACCAGCACGGAGAAGAGGGCGTACGGCGCCCTGTGGCAGCAGGACATGGACGATTTCCACTCTGAGCGGTGGCTGAGGGACGATGGGACGTTCGACGCGAAGGCCCTGCCAAGGCTGGGCTTAAAGATAGAATCGCTTCGCTCAAAGATTGTGGTAGCCGGACATGTTCTGGGACAAGGGCATGTTTTGGGTGAGTGTCCCGGGTCGCTGCTCCTTCCCACTATGCGGTGAGATTGACACTGAGGTGGTACGTCGCAAGTTCGCAACGCAGCATTTCCGCATCGTGCTTGTCGTAATTCTGCTGGACTTCGAGCTTCTGCTGCTACCTGAGAACCTGAACAGCCCCGATGCGTTCTCTAAGATAACCCGTAGCCCTTGCCAGTGCTTCGTTCGCTTGAGACCAATCTAGGCCAGTGTGATTCTGGGGCAATCCAAAGAGACCTGCGTCGTGCTCATCAAGCCCTGGCAGCCGCGTATATGGAGCCGACATAGTAATACTTGCAGTATCGGCATTGGAAAGTGCTGATCTGTTAAAATGTTTTCTTCCTGCTGTGTCCCCACCCCACACAGCCGTCTTAGTCAGTCGGCAGTTCCATTGTAATTCCTGTCGCAGTCCACGCTTTTCCGCATTCCACTTCCGCGGTGTCAACTTCGGCGCGAGCGTCCACATGCACTTGTGCATATTTGTATCAACGAGAGCCAGCGTGGTGAATGGTCACAGGAACACCGCAAAAAACTCTAGAAACGTTGAGCTCAAGAGCACATCAAATCACTCACTAGGAAGAACACGGGACAGCTCTCGCTTTTCGGTTTGTATCATTTCTTCAAACCTTCACGCAGTCTATCCACCACAGGGCCCACGGGGTATTCGCCGTTATAATGACAACAAGGAGAAAGCCGCAGAGGTAGCAGCCAGTCGAAGAGGCCTCTGTCCCCCATCACAGACTTCCAATTCTCATAGTAGCTACCCGTATCCCACGGGTTCTCGCCCCTCTCGGTCTTAACGATAGCAAACTTGTGCTCCGGAGCACGTCGGGGGGCACCATTGGCACCGTTCTGGTTCTCATACACGTACTGGTTCCCGTCAAAGTTGGGATTTGCCAGGGGGAAAGTGATAGTCTCATAATCATTCGGCGCGGAGCTATTTTCAGAATTCGGACTCTGGTCGAGCGGGATCCGGATCGCGAGCTGATGAACCTTCGTCGTCCGGCTTAAGTTTTCGATGTTCGTGACGTTGATTAGAGCAAAGCCGTGTGACATGGACGCCATGGTGAACGAGAACAAGCCAAAGAAGGCAGCAAGGACGATCAAGACGATTGCTTCAGGCATAACAGCCGCGCCTTCATTCGCGAGTGTTCTGGTGACATGTGCTCCAGCAGATAAACAAATTGCACAATAGCAAGCTGTGTATGTGACGAATTGTACAAAGAATTTGAAGGCTGTAAAAAAGAATTAGCCAGATGTTTAGTCATGGGAATTTCTGGAGCCAGATGAGGGGTGTTGTCCATTTTTATAGGATAGACATGGGGCATTTGATTCTTGTATCAACTCCAAATCAATGCACTGCGACCCTCTGCTCCATGTCGACCCAGTGAACAACCCTGAACACAAAGACAACCAAGAATCCTCCTGCATCGGAAATCCACAAGCGCTTACCTGTCTCTCCAATCATACCCCCTGCCCAAGGGCAGTAGTGATCCATCTTTTTGACGCATCGCTGGATATCGCCAGAGTGGTGGGCACGGTCAGGCTTCCAGTTCTGACAGTCCGAGCACCATATGGGCAGGCCATCGCTCCGACAGGTGTAGAAATCCCTTGTGTAGAAGGACTCGAGGCTCAGTTTTGGTTCGAGGGGCACGACCCCCGGATTATATGCAACAGTGTATAATGTACGGGCGTAGCATGCAAGCATTAATATTAGGAAGATGTAGTGAAGAACGAGCAGGACGATTGCGCTGCCGACGTGGTTTCGAGCGATGAAGAAGTCAACTGTGGGATCGATGCCTCATGTCAGCGCTCTCAGATGTCTCGTTTCGATGGAGGGTTTGGTTGTGCCGTGCGCGGCACACAAGCGCACTCACTGCATATAGGTTTGGTGAGGGCCCAGCAGGCGAAGCCTATGGCGCCGAGCAGAAAGACGGGTATTATACGGGTTGTCCATCGGTGGGCGGCATTGTGACTCCTGGCCTCCGAGGGGGGAAACAGCTTGGGCGAGGACGAGGCCATAGTAGGGCCACGACGCGCTACCGTCGCGGTAGACAGGAGGTGTCGTTGAGCCTCAGCGCTGCCAAATTGCGGGTGGTCGGGAAATAATAATAGGACGAGTGACGTATGGAGAGCGCCGCGACAGATCCTCAGGGCAGTCCTGGCCGTCCTAGCCGTCCGTGCACTGCTGCCACTGACATGCATTGGAGATCCCTGCGCTTACCGAGAAGCTAAATTAAGGCCCGGAGTACTGTAACCGGGATTTCCAGTTCTCTTCCCGAAGAGCCTAGATAGCTCCTGCTGAGGACCAATCGCGAATGGACTCTCCCAGCGCAGAACCAATCCAACTCAACGCCAGAGGCCAACAGGACCTGCTGCCTGGCATAGGATCTTGTGGCGACGGAGGACTGTGAATAAAAGAGCGTGTGGGATCGCTTCGAGTCGTCGAGCTGACCGATCTGTTGGTACCGAGTCCCTAATGCGTCAAGGGCGAGACCGAGGCCGTGACCAGGGAGCGTGTTGTCTCAGGAGTCGTCCCGGCTGTAAAGTCCGCCATCCCACGTGAGAAGGAACAAAAAAAGAGAAAAGGAAACGAGTGTCCATGTTCACCATCTATCAGCGTGGGATTTCTGCCTTTCGACTCTTTACTCCCTTCTCTTTGGCCTCATTTGCTTGCTGTCGGGTCTGTCGGGGCCGCTGGAGCTTGGATCGTCGCTTGTTCCGGTCTGACAGATTAATCTCATCTCGCCGTTAAAATACGAATTGGACACAGCTTCCATGTTAGATCAGCTTCATTTTCTGCTGTCCCTGTCGCCCAATCATACCTTCCTGTCTGGTCCCTGCCACGGGGTCATTGCCTGGGCATCCAGTGCTCTCTTGCCACTCCCATCAGAGTTACGAATTAGAGTCGCTAGTAAACGGCTCAGCCTCCCCTTTAGAGCGCAGCATCACCCCATGCCAACCCCTCTGAAAATTATCAGAACCATAAAGAAACTAAAGTCGCCGTCTAGTCAGTCACTTGCTCATTTGTGGCGTCAACGCAACGCGCTTGGTGCTACCAACCACGAATGCTCTGGTGGCGACCCCTGATCCACTACTAATCGAACCGTCAAATAGGCTACCATGACTACGTCAGGCGCCAGGAACAACCTCATTGGTCCGAACAAAGGTGGTTTCCTCGCGGAGAAAAGATGTATAAGTTCTTTTGCGGCTCTGCGACTGTGTGAACACCAGTGTCGACCTGAAAGCATGGTCTTGAGGCCCAAGATTTTGCCCCTGAGTGTGAGAGTGCATGAATCACTTTCTACAGCGCCCCATAACCGCCGTCACTATTGATCACTCACATCGAATCAATCTTGTTCTGACCTTTCACGGGCCAAGTTCACCATAGTGAACGAGCACAAAGATTCACACCGGTGATTCTGCTGTACCACTTACAAATCTGCCGATTCATGCTGATACTTGGACGCATCGCCTCATGATTGCGCCAAGTTGTGAGCACGACATCGAAGTACAGATCTCCGCTCAAGATAGGTACTTACGATGGACAAGAGGCTCTGAGTTATACCCTGCCGAGTCTGCAAGCTGTCTAGCCCCAACATGTGATGGTTGGGCTGCTTGATGTCTAGACAGCAGGCTGCGGTCTCTCGTGCAGATCATGACAACGGCATGAATTATCCATCAAGGGTGGGAGCCTTGAGGAGAACTTCAAGTATGTCAAGCGACATTTTGCCCGAATTGTGTGGGAGTGGTGTGGGAGTGGTGTGCATCCTCTTCGTGAAGGCATACCTCACCCATCGCCGATACTACTTAACACCTAAGGCATTTTTCAGCCTCAACTATTTCTGCTCATGGATATAAAATGGCACGTCGCCCGCATTTCTGGCGCTGACTTCGCTCTCTTCCTTGGCGCACTCAAGTGAGACATCCGACTCCCCACGAGGATTCCGCCATGAATTTCATCGAGCTCAAGTGTTCCTCCGCTTCCTGGTATATCTAGTTCGAAGACGCCGAAGGTTATCGTGTTTACAAAAACGTTGAACACTGTCCATGTGTTTGTGAGTACTATATCCCTTACTGTTCACATCTTGCGAGAGAGCCGAGTGAGCCGCAAATCAGACCACAAAAGTGTCAGAAGCCTGAATTGTCTGCATGATTACATATTCGCATTTCTGTCGGTCTGTCATGTTATGGTCGGATGATTTTCTTTTTTCTTTTTTCTTCTTTTACTCCTTCTTTATTGTTTTATGTTCCATTTGGTTGTTCATGTTTAAGCGGATACGGGGCAATGCAGAAGAGGGACACTACAGGCAGGGGTCAAGAGCTCCGCAGAAGTTTCAGCAGAGCCCTCTCTTAAAGCCGTTGCCCTTGTCTCATTGGCCTTCCAATCCGATGCCATGTGGGAATGATAAGGTTTTCAGGGGAGGCTGGACTCAGAGGACTTTGTTTACGACGACTCTTCACGCTCACGGACTAATACGAAGTGATATGGGCGAGCGTTGAACCTACTCGACGGTGGATCTGCATTACCTACGGACACCTGGAACGACACATGTACAGCCTCAGGGGACATCGGAGCAGCTGCCAACATCAGACGAGGACTGCCTGCTACGAATACTTGGCACACCGCAACGAACGCAAGAAATACCACGGAACGGCTTCCTTTGAACCCTTGACGGCATTCGAATGGGCCCTAAGGACGGTGTCGATGGGCCGTTCCAGTTTCAGGTCAGACAAAGAAGGGAAGCCAAAGAAGCTTGCTATGCTAGCAGTCTGGACTGGGCTTGTCGTCGTCTAGTCCATAGGAGAAGGAAGGGGCACCCGTCTGGGCCCCTGGACGTCGAAGAGCCTCCAAGAGCCTCATGGAGCCGCAAAGTCGTGGCACAGACACAGCCTACCGCTTCATAGCCTTCGACACTCGAACCCTCGCTCTACACTTCTCGATTGACGGACACGGGCATATCACCAGCGAATGAGACCGAAGCACCACACACACATCTCGTCGACGACAGATGAAGGAAGGAAAGAGGGAGGGTGCCGGGACGCAGGCAGACGATGCGGCTCAACTGAGAGGAAAGCCACATGCGGCTCTGCAGACGCGGGTCATCGATGACTCCGAGAGGAAGGGTGAGGGTACACGGCATCGCAGAGTGCCCTGGCCGGCCTGGAGGGTTTGAAAATCAGCCTTGTGGGTCACCTCGGCACTAGTCTCCAGGCAGACGGGACCAATATCCAACACGCTGGACGAGGAAATGAGAGCGGCTGGGAGCAGGAGAGTGCCGACTCTAAGCCGTGTATGCGGCTCTGCGGCGGCTCTTGAGATCACGACACCCCTTACGGCACTCGATGACTCAACAAGGGACCGAACTATGCATCGAGGGGATGGCCTGCTCATTGGAGGTTATGCGCAAAGTCGCCCTGCAGGCTGCACGTCTCGACGCACCGGCGAGGCCAAAACCACAGGGTTGGGACCCCGTCGGGGGATTGACTGGACATTGGCTTCCTTTGCCCAGTCCAGTCAGAGTGCTCATGACCAAGAGCAGAAACAAAGCTTTATTGTCTAGAGCACTAGGGCGGCGCGAGAATGGCTGTGTCGAGGACCGCTTAAGGCTGCAGAGGTCCAGCTCCGTGGCAGAAACTCGGGCGTTCCCACGTTGTTGCCTTGCTGTCTTAGCTAAGTGGAGCATCCCGCGCTTGCTGGCTGCCCCGCCCAACGCGGAGTGGCGACGTGCACATACCGGGGCAGGCTGGTTTACCACATAGGCGAAGGATTTTGAGCCGCATGCATCTACTGGGGGTCGCCCGACCACTGAGCAGCACTGAGCAGCGAGTAGCGGCCAGACTCTCCCTCCACGTCCCTTTCCTGCCTCCCTCCTTGCCCATCGCCCAATTCACGGACCAGAACCACCCGCATCGACGTCACGGACCTGGGCATAGCGAACATGGAATTATACCGTGTGACTCGCATTCGCCGGGATACCTCGATCTCTCTCTCCCCCTCTCATGTCCTCAATGGACACTCACCACTCATGTGATTGCGACCTAGGGCTCCGGAAGTGCCCGCAACGTCATGGCGAACCCTTCCCCGTAATTTCTCTACTCTCTTTTTCTCTCTCTCCAGTCTACGGGCATTGCCGTTGGGTTTGAAATTGGCTAAGCCACCTCCAGACCGAATCGCACGCGTTACCAACCGTCTGGCACCCCGTGGCTGCCTTATCCTGTCACCGAATTCTGCAGCAAGGCCAATTTGCTTCATCAGGTTTCCTGCTGCCCTCTCTGCCTGTCATCACAGGCGGTCCCCTAATGCGCCAATCGGCTGGGCTATATGGGCCCCTGGCCGTGGGACGGGGATGACTGTTCAATGCGCAGCGAGGCGGATGGGTAGGAGAACTGCTCGACTACAGTCTCCTCGACCTCTGAGTGGAGGGCCCTTCTCGGCAGGTCCTCGAACGCGTGACGATTCCCACTGACGGGACCAGGGGTTAGGCACTTGTTCTGAGTCTTGTTGCAGCTCTGAATCACATCTGCCTAGGGCAAAGGCTCATCTCCTGCGATGCACCTCAGCGAGTGCTGCGGTCGGTCAATGTTGGCTATGTCGTTCACGTCGCAACCTGGTCGCCTCACGTTTCTGGTTATGCCTGGCTGCGATGGCTGTGAAGTGGAAATACGCGGTTTTGTTCGCCTTGTTCTCCCTTCGTTCCAGGCCATAATTTGAGTATAAGATTCCCAATGCATCTCGCCACTGCTATCACGTCTTCTCTTGTTATTCCATCGTCACTACTGCAATCTTGTGCCTTTCCTCGCTTCTAGCAATCCCTACAGCCCTGCAAACACCCAATCAATCCACTAGCACCTTTCCCAGTAACCAAACTTCATCGTGATCTACTCAGTATGGGCAAGAGCACGACTGTCTACATCTGGAGCTGCTGCTACTGCGGTCACGGGGGTATGAATGTCAACACGACCCCACAATGTATGGCCTGTGGTGTTGTTCGATGTGGCAACTGCCGCGTCGAAGCGCACAAGGTTCGCGGACGCGGATAAGGCTTCTAGACCTCAATTGGTACGATACACAGTATTATCATATCTTCAATGCCAGGACCATGCTGACAACCTGTCTCAGATGAGAGTTTTGTCCGGTTGGCGCATCCATACGAGCAGAAGACATTAATCTCTGGCCTGACGCCACCCTACCCTTGCTCAAGCCACCGACTTAGTCTCATTTCATGAGCACTTCATTCCTGTTGGGCTCATCAATAAAACGAATATCGACCAGCGGCGGAGAGTACGAACACAGCTCTTCGTCCCTCGCTTCTCTCACCAACCCACTCCTCTCCGCCTATGAAGATATCCAACACCATAGCCATACTTGGCCCCGAGCCCTATCGACGACGACAAAATGATACATGGAACTTATTCCGTGTCAATCATCACCACCACTCTACCTCAGGATTGTCACGGCTTTGAAATACGAAGCGAGCGTTGGAGTTATTTCCTGGAGTTTATTAGACGGACACAAAGAGCTTTCAAAGAACGCATATGATCGCAAGATCCGATCCGAATTTCTTTTGTCCAGTGCGGAGGAAATATCATTGCGCAATTTCATCAATGGCGGGGATTAGTCTAGAAGGGTTGCCTGTTTGGCCACAGGCCGCGAGGATCTGCGGACACGGCATTGATTTCGCATCCGCATACATATACACATGGAGTTTAGGAGCAAATGTCACTTTCATCACCATTATCCGCCCGCAATAACGGACACAATCGTGAATGCTTTCGTTCTGTGGATCAGGGGCGTTTCGATCTCTATGTCTCTCCGCCGCCCGTTTTTGCATTTCACTCTGTACCCAAGACACACAATTCCAGTCGTGAATAATTATTTACACCAGGCAGCTACAAGCACACCAGACGCGCGGTCTTACTAGCAGTGTTGTGAGGTGAAGTCGTCAGCTAATTGCAAGACCACTCGGGACTGCCTGGAGGTTCAAAGCGGCGTGAACCAACCAACCGTCCCAGCCTGGCACGCCCAGGTCTGCCTATCTTCACCATGCCAAGGTACAGATGAACGCGCCTCTCAACACACCGTTCCAGAATCGACGCAACGATACAAACGGCCGAGGGCGGTGCTTCACAACTTCTCTCGTGGGGTTGGGCAATATACGTTATCCAATCGCATAGGTATCCGGTAAAACCCCCCTTTGCATAAAAGAGGGGTCTCATATCGTTGTGCATACACTCATCGCGTAAGCCAACAAATCAGCTCCCCACACCCACCCAGCCCGCGACGTTGCACAGAGCGAAAAGGGAGTTCTCCAACTCACTTACTCACCAGGCTCTGGGGGTGTTATTGTGTGTGTTGCACCGAGACTCGGTTTGCCAGATGGGGTACATCAACCCTCCCACTCATGCACCTGCATCCATCCCGACCTGCCCAAAACAGCCAGTCCTTTTGGGAGAGGATTATGTCAGCCCGGCGGGAGGAACCAAACTGCATTGCTCTGTGGTTGGGCGCAAAAAGACCTACCTGCAAGGCACGTTTCGTCGCAGGGGGGCACGCCCAGAAATCTCACTTACACACACATAAACAAAATGTGCACAGCCCTCTAGAGCCTCAAAACTGTATGTGTAGAAGGCCTCATGCAACCCCAGCACCCATATTCACCAGAAAGTCCTACGGCAGCCAAGCACTGCGCTGCGCCCCGGGCGCACCCTTCCCAAGGGCTCGGTAGCAAGGCTCTCGTATAGCAGGCCTGTCAGGTACTGGGAAGGGAGAGGGAAAAGAGGCAAAGGGGTAAATCGCAGAGCCTCAAGCCTCGTGTGTGCCCACCGGTGTCTGGTGTGTGTCTGTGAGAGTGATGTGCCCCTGGGGCGAGGGAATGAAGCTAAACCGTCTTATTATTCATTTCTTCTTGTACCTGCTTGCAGAAAAGAACCCCACCATCACGGGTAGCGGCCCGTCGAGAAAGGGAGGGGGCCGAGGAGGGCCCATATTGCGCGTAAGAGCCCTGAGGTTGAAGACAGTAACCCTTCCTTCCTTCCATCCTGCCTGGCAGGTCTCATCCTCAGCATAGCAAGCAAAATATGTTTGTAAAATAACGTTGTGCCACTGCCATGCTGATCCCTCCCCCTTTCACCTTTGACATAGATGATATCCCATATACTGTTACATGAGCTCCTTCAAGCCCTTGGTTGTCTCTCCGCCTCCCCATCTTCATCTCGTCGCTCTGGCAGAGGAGCAGACAAAGCTTAAGACTTGAAACGTTTCCACTGATAAACAGGTGCACATCCTGCGAAACTGTGCTCACCATCCATTGCACAGACTTTCCTTTCCCCCACTTGAGCCATGTCAGATCTACTCTGGGTCTGTCACAACGCGGATCTTATTCTGCGTGCGGGACAGCTCGAGCGCCTTCCTTGGGCCCTTGACGCTGATGGACCCGGCCTCAGCGGTGGGTGCACGGTCCGTCTTCGCGTACTTCTTCGTCGCTTTGCCCTCCTCGGCATCTTCTAGGATGCTCTTCTTGGCGATTTGCTTGGTCTTGACCGTCTTGACTGTCTTGGTAGTCTTCGTAGTGGCGGTCTTCCTGCCGGTAGACTTGTTGATCGTGTGCTTGGCGCTCTTGATAGTGCTCTTGAAACTACCCTTGCCAGCAGCGCTGGTGATGTTGCCCTTGATACCGCCCTTTGCTTTGGCCACTGAGCCCTTGAGCGCTGAGCCCTTTACAGCCCTCTTGCGGCCAGGACCAGCTGACTTCCCAGCCGCTGGTTTCGCTACAACTGTGGCAGAACTCGAGGTCAGGCTCGCAGCAAGCAGCAACTCCTTCCCATTCTTGTTGTACGTCCTGGCCGCCTTGACGAGCGTAGATTTGCGGACCGAAACTGTCTTAACCGGCGTCTTTTGTGCTGCTGAGCTGGAGAGAGCCGCCTTCGCATTGACCGAGATGCTGTTGGCGGTTTTCTTGACTGCCGCGGCGGCCTTTGCGCTCAAGGAACGCTTGACGCCCGTGGCCTTGATCACCTTGCGCTTCTTGTTGGACGTGCCCGTGTCTTCCTCACCTTCGAGGAGTGCCATAAGCTTGCGTTTGCCGGCCTTGGTCGCGGCTTTGACAGTATCCTTGATGCTGCCTTTGACAGCCTTGACCTGAGTCTCGCCGCGAGCAATCGTGGGAGCCTTGGGTCCCAAAACTCCACGGCAGTTGGCGCTGCCACAGAGGCACTTCTGTACATTCTTTGCCGAGAAAGGATCAAAGTTGTAGTCGTACGTCAGCTCGTCCCCAGTCATGATAGGTTTTTCGCCTGCGAAGAGCGCCATACGTGGCTGACCACCCACGATCCACTTCTCCATACGACAATTCGGTGCACATGAGTGATTTACAAATCGAGCAATGCTGCCAGTCGTTGCATCAATAATCATGTTCTGATCGAAAGCCATGAGGTAGTAACACTTGAATCAGATGTCAGCCTTTGGTCTGTGAGCAGTGCGACTGACTCTCAGCTTACCTCATTGTCCTTGTACTTTTCGTTCATCCGGTTTTCACACTCAGCCTGTGTGATGATCTCCCCAGTATACTCCATGATAATCTGATTGGGCTCAAAACAGCGGTTGCTTCTCACACCGTAGCCACGATCAGAGGTCTTCACAACCTCAACACCAACTCGGTATCGCCCGCCCTTCTTGGTGCGTGCAGTCAGATTCTGAAAAGCGCGGTTGTGGCAGTATTCCTTGCCAGCATTACAGTTCGTGTCGTCGCACTCGTACAACATAATGCGATTCTGACAGTCTTCAGTGCATCCATCATCAGGCTTGCAGATACATTTTGACTGGTAGTCCTTGAAGTGGTCCGTCTTCCGCCAGTATGTTCCAGCGTCTCCGACGAATCGATCTGGAAGGGACAGTCAGTGCGCATTCCAGACAAGAATGGATGGGTAGTCTTACTCTTGGTCATCTTGCGCCACTCATCCGGTTTGGGTTGACCAGGTGGCAGTGGGTTGCAAACATCAAATGGCAACTTGAAATCTCGACCGTTGATGAGAAGTCTCAAGCCAGCAAACATGGGCAAGGGAAATGTCTTGTTGACTTTCCCGGTGGGCGCAAGTTCCGGGAGTTGCGCAAGCTTCTTCTTCTCAGCAGTACTCATGCCTTTGGTATAGTCCAAGGGGGCTGGTTGGCCTGCATACAGACCCTTATCCAACCACTTCTTGACGCGTTTCTGCTTGGGCGCAATTGTAGGAGTCTCTTCCTTGGACGTCTCGGTTTCGGTCTCGGGCTCAGGTTGCGTCGCTGCGCGTCCCCTTTTGACCTTCTTTTGAACGGGCTCGCCGGCTTCGTCCAACTCGTTGGGGTCGACATACTTGCCATTGCTCCAGATAGTGTGAAGCACAGGCTTGGCCTCAACTCCAATGAACTCGTTCGTGTCCTGGAGTCTTCTGAGCTCGCGTGGTATGCGCGCATTCTCGAACATCTTTCGTCCCCGCTTGCCCACTGAAGCAGCCTTTGTGATGATTGACTCGGCGGCAGCCGCACCAGAAGCACGCGTAGAGATCCGCGTCGTGGGGGCTGTCTTTGCCTTGTACTTCTTGTTGTTTGCAGCAGACTTGGTCTTCGCGTCGTTGTGTACGGTCGCGCTATGCGCTATTGAAGGCGAGTTGGGCGCAGACAGAGACCAATTCATGTCCAGCGCGTCGACGCCGCGTTGAACGATGCTGTCGAGACTAGGATTGATGCTTGCATCGTTGTTACCAACCAGTGTGTCGCCCGATATAGTTCTCCTGCGCTTTTCCCTGACGGAATCGCCATTGGCGCGTCTCTTGCCGTGGATGTGGGTGCCTGCAAGCTTGGCCAAGTTGTAGACGGGGGCCTGTGAACTCACGCGCCCGAGTCGAGCGCGTCTTGGGGTGGGAGTTTCATCGTCGGGAGCTGGAGTGGACGCCTTGGGGGTTTGTTGGCCTGTCTCGGGCAGTTCGTCGGTGGCAACTTGGACAGTCTGTTCAATATGCTCTGTAGGCTCTGAAGGCTCTGCAGAGCCGGTGGCGGGCGTGAGTGCTGCAGGTGGGTCGAGAGCTGGGAGAGTGGCTGTTATTTCGTGCTTGGAAGTGTCAGAGGCGACGCTGGCAGCGTCAGCAACGGTGGTTGGGGGCGTGGACGTGAAGGACGCGTTGTTGGAAGATGCATCGGTCGGGAAGCCGGAGAATTGGAAGCTCGACTCGGAGGGAAGGGCAGGGAGCTCAACGCTGTCAGGAACAAGTGCAGGCTCGGGCGTAGGGAGAGGAAGCAGCTCAGCACGAGGCAGCTCAGCCTGAGCAGTCTCAGTGAGGAGGCCGGCCATCCCGATGCGTTGAGAGACGCGACGGGAGGTGGATCAAATGAGCAGATGCAAGCCGACGCGGGCGGGTTGATGGAATTGACGCGTCGCTTGATGTTGTACGGTGGAGAGTGAGGGAGGGGAGGCGGGTTGAGGTGAGGTGAGGTCCAAACAGGAGGGAAGCCAGCAATGGACGCGGATAATTAAGAAGGTGTGGCCGGGATCCTAGCGCGCGACAAAGTCCACATGAGAAAGGCCTTTTGTATCCGCCGCGCAACAACAGCCCAACCGCTGCAGATCAGACAGACTGACAGACCGACCTGACAGACCGACCAGAATAGATGACTAAGACCAGCTGTGCTCAGCTGTGCTGTGGGCTGAAACGACCACTTTCTGTAGAACAAAATTGATGACTGGCTGATGATTTCGCTGAAGAGCAGTGGGGAAAACAGACGACTATGTGCTGCGAAGTGCAGTGCAGCGCGGTGCAAGATGGTTGTTTCTCTCCCGACAATTACTGTACCTCACTTGCAGCTTCTGTCGTGTGGAATGATGGAGTGGTGATGATGATGGTGATGGCGATGGCGGACGAGCGACAAAGGCAAGCCCAACAGCCGGATTGTTGATGTGGCTGCGCGGAGGTCACGTTGTCAAAAATGGGAGAGAGGAAGGTTGATGTTTTGGGAATGAGATTGAGAGAGAAGGAGTGAGTGGGTGGAGTGAGCAGGCGGGCTGGCGTGCGTGTGTGCGTGCGTGCGCAGGAGTCGGTCGGCGTCCAGTCGAGACAAGACAAGAGGCTGGCTCGGGAAAAGAAAAACTACTGGGTGGACATCTTCTCGTTGCGAAATCTCGACATTAGACACTGTCTGCTGATGAGTGAATAAATGGCCGGACAGAGCCCACACATTCCAGCCCAGACCTCCCGATAAGCAGTATCTCCTCCTCCTATTGTGTGTGTGACTCTCTGCTCTCTGCTCTCTTTATCTCTTTCTCTTCTCTTCTCTGCCGGCACCTCAATCCGAGATGGTCGCGCTTTATTGCTTCCCCCTGCTGATATAAAGGGAGTAGTCAGCTTTGATTTACCCATGCACAGCATATGGCACTGGCTCCCAGCGCATGGTAGGCTCGTCACCAATGTTCACCAGAAGAAACTGTCACTCGAGAGACCATTTTACTCGGGGTGGATATCCGTCCATCCCACCGGCGACCGCCAAGAAGGCTACCATCCCTGACGATGCCATCCTCGGACGAGTCGGCGTTTGTCTTGACGAGCCTATTGATACGGCGAGAGACACTGGCAGCTTCGCTTATATCACGTGCTCCTTGGTTTCAATACTTTGCAAAAAACGACTTATCGCGGGCAATCAAATGTGTCGACTCCCTGTGATGGGACGTCGTAGCCCGTCGGGGCAAGACTATGAGCACGAGGCCCGGTTGAGGCCTAGACTTGTGCGAGCTGAACAGTCTTCACCTGCCCGCCTGAGGCAATGAACCCTCGAGGCCGACCCTACCCCTTGCCTGATAGGGGTTGACTACCGGAACAGTGCCAGTGATTGATGCATTGAGACACTCCCTGATTACCTCCGGCAGACGAGGGACAGTCCTATTTCAAGGTATCCAGTGGTGTCTTGATCAATCCCTCCACCTTGACACCACTCGAGTACCCCCCGGTTGAACCCTCCCAAACTAAGTACTCTGTTGTTGCCATTGTGTCTGTTGGGACCACCTATTCAGGTCAACCCGCGGTGGTGATCACGAGGACTACGATGACCAATGCTCCTGGAGGAGCACAGCATTCACAAATCACGTGTGTACCTTCAGTCCTCCTTCTGAGAAATTCAATTGTTCCAAATGGCCAATATCGGCTGGCTGCTTTGTCTGCGTCGATCAAGGTCAAGAGGCCTTCTTCGACCATTCTAGCGGCGACGGATATGTCACAATTGACAATAAAAACACCTTTTTTGCTCTGCATTAATACTGCTCCCTCTGCCCAGGTGACTTGCCATTCAAACCACAAGTGACTACTCACGGTTCTGGAAGTCAGCCCTATTTGGACGAAGTGGGACGCACGTTGAGTTTCCTAGTGGATTTGTCCCTATCACAGCGGACCACCTGTGTTGTGTCCGAGGAACTCGACAAATAAGGCGAGAAAAATACCACATAGAAGAATTCCGCTCGATATTGAACCTGGTATTCACTTTTCACAAAAATATCGGACTTGTCAATTTGTTGCAGTTGAAGATGTCCGTGGCACCAACAGCCAGACAGGCGCCACTCAAGCGCTGCTTGCAGCTGGGGCTGTACAAGGCCGGGAGAAATTCACGGTCTTGAGCCGCTTAAAACCAAGGGAATTATATGAGAAGACCATTGCTCCGCTGTCGGGCAACCAACCGTGGGCATGAGGCCAATATCGGCGAGTGACGTGATCTCTGCTCGTGAATCTTGGGACTACCGATAAGAAGTTGAGGCGAATTGCACCAAACGACAGACAACTTTGGAGTTTTTTTCTTATTCTCTCAGCATGAAATACTCACACATATACACAGATGATAGCAGGGCCAACATTGCGAGATTCGATGGTCTGTGGTTGAATTGGGCTGAGAGCAGACTTCCATTTTGGATGATCATACGTCGCCTGATGTGGGCACGGCACCGGAGACCGGGGAGATCTTCCAAAGTTCAACGGGGCGCGCGAACGACCTCGGAACACGACCTTCAGCATCACGAGACTCATCCACGTGCATTTACTATGAGATGATCGGGTATTTGGTGGAAATTCACCTCGCATCTTTGGTACCGCTTTAAGAAGACCTCAGTGAATCGCAGAGGATATACCGTTTTTGCCACCACCGACAGATGCAGCCCTACATTGGGTTGAACCTTTTGATAGATGTGGTAAGGACACGAATGATCTTGAAGCAGAACATATCGAGTAATACTTTCATTTCTAGCAACATTACTGAAGAATTCCCTTACCAGCAAATGTTTTATCTGTTGAAATGTTGCCATCAGGCCTCTAGAAAGGCTGCTGCCACTCACCACCAGGGGCGCAGTCACTCACCCATTATATCGCCACCTCGAATATTATTGACCCCAAAATGGCAGAATGATCAAGACCAGCCTTTAATTCCTCGGACTTCAATTCTCAGATCATCTCTAACTCGCTCGAGATTTGTTGATTGTGCCCGTCACATCAGGACCCTTGAAAGCGTCGTAGCCGGCCAGCCAGCCAGCCAGCCACAGCAGCCCCCTTCCCTGTTACCCCAGAATCGAGGGGTCGGTTGACACAACAGGCCACACGCCCTCACGCGTGTGCTTCGGACGCCGTTTCCAGACCATAGGCTTACCTTTATCGGAACATTCCTTGAGAACAGAGGGGATCCCATTGATCAGCGGAAGTTGAAGCTCCTCGGTATTTCACGGCTCTGCATCAAGCAGCTATCCTGGGTGTGCGTGCCAACACAGCTGCGTCAGCCCTAGAGAGCACAAAGGTACGGGTCGCAACGTCATTGACTCCGGTCTAGGCACGTAATGAGGCTTCGAGGTCAGAGGCGCGAAGTGTACGCCAGTGAGAGAAGAGACAAGAGGTCTCCTGAACCTTGACCACGAACCCAGGTTCCCAAGGTTAGCATAAGGCAGCCACACCGATGAGAATAGCAAAGAGACCAAGAGGAAAGTGAAGAAGAGATCTTTTCAGGACAAGCACAATGTTCTAAATTAAATACACACCCTCTTTCCCGTGAGGATCTTCCAGTAGAGCCGATCAGCAACGGTAGTGTCCAGCACCACAAGCCACGAAGCCAGAGAAAGCCAACTGCTGATGGAGCTATCGCAAGAGCAGCCTCAGGCCAGGCGCGCAGCGGCTTAAGCAAGATAGGGGGAGAGGGGAAGGGGGACTTGGCGAAAGGGAAGTAGACTTCGCATGCTACAACCGGGACCCGGCGCTTGATACGAGTCGCCGACAGTGAGCAGCCCTCGATCATCGTCTCCGTGCGGCTGGAATCGCAGCGGCCCCCTATACCGCGAGGCTGCGCACTGCCACCAGGTGTCATTGGGGAATCAGTCTGGCCTGATCCACAATGTTAATATCACGCGAGCCACTTACCCGGCTTTCGCGATCAAACTGGCGCGCCTCCCACGACAACAGAGGTAATGAAGGGCTCGGCCATACACTCAACGCCTTTCCCTCAAGGAGGAGGAGACGAGTCAGCCTCGCCGGCATTTTGAGCTGGGAATCCACGTGGAAGTGAGGAGTGCTGTGGGCTGGCTACCTGGGCAAGTTGCACATCCTGAGAGATTGCTCACTCCGACCTGAGCACAACACCACTGCCTCTCAAGGATCCCACATCATCACGGACGTAATAAAACTCTATGTAGATTCTGCCACAATTGAGCGTAGACGGGGGTCAGCTTTCTTAGAAGGCACCCTACATTGATGAAAAACGCACCTGCTTAGCCTGGTCGAAGATGCTCAGGGGGCTTGAAAGTTGTGACATGCCCACTCCTTCACGCGTCACGTCCGGCCTGATGTTGGAATCCAGGAAGACTCATATACGGCGTAGCCATATGAACGCATGCAGGTCCTGTTTTGTAGTTCAACAATATCACTGGGCAGAGGAAAACAATAGGCCACTGACCCAATCCATTAAAGTGTGTACATGTTCAGTGCGCAAGCTTGCGCAATGCGCAGAGAAGCGGGTTGTGCATCATTTCTCATTCCTATGGCTTCTTACTCCCGAAGCCAGCCTTCTATCACCCATCTCGAGCGAGGTCACAACTAGGGCCTGCGAGAAATAACGTTCCCATATCTGGCCGTCCTCCAGATGACCGATGATATTTCAAACCAACACAGAACGTATATATATACACTCCCCCGGGGTCATGAATGCTAATCAACTACACATAGTCTATCCAGCCAGGAGTAGAGCGGGATCAGCTGATCGGCTGCCTACTTGTCCCTTATTTTTCCATCCAAGTTTTTGGGGTATCAATCAGCGGTGCCTCAGCCGTTTTGAGACCCTCTGCGCTGGCAGACCGGGTAGCCTATCTACTCTATATTTTGCGACCAAGTGGGTGGGGGTATCCAGCAGATGCAAACAAAAACACACAAGGGCGTTCGAAATAAGGCAAATCCTCTTTTTAACATTTTCCCCTCTTTTCCTTTCTTTTCGCCTTCTCTTCCCTGCGACTAACCTCCTACCCATCCATCCTACCCGCCAGCCTCTCACTCCCTCGGTACACTGTTACCCCTCAGCATAACCCTCTGAGAGTGATTCTGCTGCTGATGATGTTGATGCTGCTGATGGTGCTGCTCTCTTGCGTCGGCGCTAAGCGCCACATTCGCCATGTGACTCAGCCGGTAGTGGTCGACACGGTGGTCCGCCTGCGAAGATGATGGGCGGTGGTCGCGCAGTCCAAAATCCGTGACGCTGCTCCTCTCCTTGGTCCGCGTGTCACCCGTACCGCCGACGCTATTGCTGTGATTGACAGGCGCAAACGCCCTCGTCTCGTTGCCTAATGGCCGGTCCCCATAGCCGGAAGACGAGGGCGCAGCGGTGGCCGTGGTATTAATGGGCGGCAGCGACGGCGGGTCGGGCGAGTACCCGCCACCGCTTCGGCCCGATGTGTCGTCGCCTTCCGTGCCATCGCCCTCACCGCCGCTCGTTACTCCGCTGGCCCCGTTGCCGACCTCGCGTTTCAGCCAGTTGAGCTCGTCCTCCGAGATAGTCTTCCACCCGCACTTCGCATGCTTCTTGGTGCAGCCCTGGCAGGCCGTGAGGTGCTTTACGCACTGCACGCGCAGTCTGCGGCACCGGTCGCAGGGCGGGTAGATGGTGTCACCCTTAGTCAACTTCTCGATCCGCGCAGTCACAAGAGACCGGTGCGTGTCGGATGGGTCGTCAGACTGTATTGTTGAGGAGCGCTGTTGCTGCTGTTGCTGTTGCTGTTGTTGATGCTGTTGCTGGGGTTGTGATTGTGATTGTTCCGAAGCCCCCGGCGAGGGGCGCCCGCTTTGTGTGTGAATGGGCTGGATTGGCAGTTTGACGCTGGAGATCGGGGGTCCCTGTTGCTGAGTTTCTTAGCGATTGACGTCTTCTCAGATGGTGGTTGCGTCGACTGCTCGGTTGACAAAGGTGATCACATGGCGAGGTAGATGTATTGGTGAACAGGCAAACGGGAAGCAACACATGTCCGGCAATAAAGAATCACTCGTGGAGCAGCACCTCGCGAGACTTCTTCCCGCAAAGCATCACCTTGTGGAACAGCCAGCTACAAGACAGCCTCATACTAAGTGATCCTCCTTGCGATCATCTTGAATCTGAGTCCACAGGCGTAGCCTCTACTGGGTTGTCGTCCACAGGATCGTCTACGTCGGACCAAGAGGCAAGGCGGACGTGGATCCACACCATTGAACAGTGCGTGCTGTGTCGGTGGATTCTCCGCCGGAAAACGAGAGTGTACACGGGGTAGTATACTTGCTTACCTGTATGACGGGCGTCGTAGGCAGAGACACTGAGTTCTGAGCCGGGATCCTGGCGGAACCAGGCTGCGACTGAGAGGTGAATTGTTGAAGCAGGTCGGCGTGGAGGTCGTACGTAGAATTAGAGCGTGGAACTGCTTGTGGGTGGTTGACGGGTTGAAAGCCAGCGTGGTGAGTTGTAGGTGAGCGTACCGTGCGCCGGGAGTTAATGGCTGCCTTTCGGCCGCTGAGGTGGTAATTGAGTTGTCGCGCTTTGCGTGCCACCTCGTCGGCCTTCTTGATTAGGACTTGGAGTCTCTGTTCCATAATCTCCAGGGTGGCAAGCTCGGAATTTTCGTCTTCTTCCAGCGGCTGTAGAGGGGCCAAGTTGAACCTGTCCAGCGTTCCCGACATGATCAACCGCCAGTCATCCTCCGTGATCTCGACCTGGTTTCCCTTCAAGTAGAAGGAACAATAGCGGCCGCGGTCCGGACTAGAGGTGAGGGTGAATTCGCTGGGGCTGGCTTTGGCAAACTGGACGATATCTAGCCAGGTGACCGTATCCGAATTGTACGGATCTCTGCGGGTGGCTGTGATGGTGCCTTCAAAGAGCCCTTCCATAGCCTTGACCAGTCTCGGGCCTGTAAGTTTGGCGCCCAGATTCGCAGCCAAGCTCTCATGGCGACTCAGTACCCCTTCATAGTCCCCGATGAGGCCTAGCACATCCGAAAATACCTCGCCATCTCCCTGAATCAGTCTCAGTCTGGTTGAATTGGATCTGGCCAGGTAATTAATGTGCGCGCCGTTCCCAGACTGAGGAGGGGGTGGCTGAGGTATCCTGTCTTGAGACTGCTGGCCATTGTCGTCAGAATCGCGCTTCCGTTTGTGATGCTGGTCTGTCGCAAGGGGCTCCGGGTGTGCCATGCTGGGCAGCCCAGAGCACAACACCTCGCTGAGCCAAGTCAAAATCGCACGTGCTCGATCGGATCGGTAGGTGACAATATTTGGGATGGAGCAACATGAGTTGAGCGCTTCTCGTCAAGGCTGCTTCGCGCTCACACGACGGTCCCGCAGGAGGAAGGATTTCTGCAGGAGATTGTTCACCGTTGTCTGAGCGGAATGAGGCTGGCCAATGTCCTGAAGCGTGGTGGTTTGGGTTGGGGGTGAGAAGGGGGGGGGTGCCAGGTGGAGGAGCTGATGTTGAAGGTGACCACAAGTGACAAATAGAGCCGCAGCTATGACAGAAGGACTAAGCCACGCAATGCTGTCCCCAAAAGAGATTTGAACAATATTATCTCCAAGTCTATGAGGGTTGATGGCCCGGGAGAGGTTGTTATCCCAATTAACGGTCTGTATCGCAGCGAGGCGATAGACACATGCACAGCCCGGCCGGACAGCCAGGGATGTAGATCAACGAAATCGCTGTCTAATAGCCAAAACCAAAATGTCGCAAGAGTGCAGAGCGCGGGATCCGATCGGTTCCGGCCCAGGCTGGTTATTTTCAAGAGTCGAATTCCAGCTGTTTGGGGAAGATATGGGAGCTTCTGTGGCGGGTTCAAGGACCAGGGTGCTCCAATATGGAGGGTGGCATTGAAGTGTTGCTAGATGCGCCACAGTCGCAGGGAAAATAGCTGTCAGGCTTGGAGCTGATGGCAGGGGCGGCACCGTGTCGCGTAAAGAAAGTCGAGGTGATGTGACGAGGTTCGAGGTGGAGCGAAGTGAGGCAAAGCAAAGTAAAGCGATGTGAGGTCAAGTAAGGTGAGATGGGATGAGATGGAAGAGGTGAGACGTTGGCGCGTGTGTGCGGGTTGGGTTGCGGGTTGCGGGTTGCGGGTTGCGCAAAAGTAAGAGCGAGTGCGAGTGAAAGTGAGAGCAAGAACGAATGCGCCTGGACTTGGCCGGCCGCAGGTGTGCAGAGAGGTGCAGAGAGGCAGAGACTGGTTGCAGGAGCTCGGCTCGGCGCAAGGCACAGGCAAGGCAGGGCGCGACGGGGCGAGGAGGAACAAGACGCCAAGAGTCCACACTGGGTCAGTGAATCATGTTCGTTTGTGCGCTATCCGGCCCTCCTTTTTCCCACTGTCATCAGTGTCTCGTGTGTTTTGGAGACGTAGCGGACAGCAGCAGCAGGCGCCCTGTGTGTGGAGCTAAGCCGGGCGAGGACGAGACAAGGTACTTTGAACGCGTCTGCTTCTTGTTCCTGTTGAAGGCTGCAGCACATGCCAGGGGGTTTGGGTTAGTCCAGTTTACTTCTTCTGTCTGTCTGCTTGTCTGCCTCTCTGTGTGTCTGTCTATCCGCCCGCGTGCCGATGTGAACGACTTTGACGTGCATTGGTGATTTGTGGGGAGTCTGGCCGTGTGGGAGGAGTGCAACTTGGGGGGTCCCACACACCTACAGCAGACAGCAGGGACGACGCCGTCTACTGTGTGTGCAGACGGGGGGAGGGAAGGGGGGAGGGATTAGGGAATGGTACATGTGGGTGGGCGTGGGCGTGGGGCCGGCCACATGTACAATGCACATATGTAGACTATGTGTGTTTGTGGGTGTGCGTGCGTGTGTGCGCGTGTACATGTATCTATGTGGGTATGATTGGTATGAGATATGTGTGATAGGTGTACTTACCTGAGGTCAGATCTGTAGGCTTGCTATGTCATGTATGTCTTGTCCTGGTAGCGAGATGCACGGCGCGCGGTGGTAGGGCGGATGGACTCTCGAGAGGCCGGAGGGCGGGCGGAGTGGGACGGAGGAGGAGGTCTGGTGAGAGGAAGTGTGTATCCGACTGTCTGTCTGTATGTCCGTCTGTCTCTACCTAGGTGTGGAAAAAAGTGAAACAGAGGTGGTGGAGGAAAGGGGAGCAGAGATCGAGATCCAGGCACAAGGTCTGAGACGGATGGACGCTGGCTTGTATTGTAGATGGTTCTTGGCTTGGTCGTCGTGGGTTCGTCATGGCCCACCCAGGGTAGGGTATGTGTGGTATGTATGGTATATTCTGTGACCATCGACTTCCGTCCCGTACAGACAGACGTACCTATGTTCCTTTTCCTCTGTTTGTCCCCCCCCTCCACGTCAACTCGACACCTGCACCTCCAACCACGCCCGCGCCCAAGCCTGCAGCCTGCCACGCCCACGCTTTCGGCTCTTCTGAGTTAGCACCTCGCCGCCCCACGCAAACGCCACACAATGAAATTCCTCCGCCGTATCCCGGGGACAACAACGCCGTGATGTCGGTCACAAGGGGTGGCAGCGAAGGGTCAATTGGGAGGGAGGAAAGCTATGACTGTATGATGATGGCGAGCTGCGTTGGTCGAGCCGGACGTGGCCATGCTTTTGATGGGCACTGCTTCTTGCTATTATCTATTATCTCTCCTCAAGTAGACTATCAAATCAACACAGACACAGACACAGACGGTGACAGTGACAGTGACACACAGACACGGACACAGATTGCTGCGTGTTCTGTCCTGTCGCCAAGTCCCCAATTCCCCCATTTCCCCCAAAAGTCGCCTCCTGCCCGCCCCTCGAGTTTCCGCCCCTCTGCCTTGCCTTGTTTTTCTAGAACCATAGAATGGAAGCCTCCTCCTCCCCAGCTCGCCCCAGCTCGCCCCAGCTGCCCCCAACCTGGGAAACCTTGGACGCACGGCGGGCATGTCCCCTGCCAGGGGCCTCCTTGCAGCAGGCTGCATTCGGAAACAGAGCGCTGGCCCTCTGTTGGGGGCCCCTTCGCCCACCCCTGCGCTGTGTCTGTGTCTGGCTGCATGTGCGTGTGCGTTTGCTGTTTGGCTGTGCACCAGGTTTTGCCAGTGTCGAGTCCCCAGTAGTCAAAAACTCTGCATCGTACGAGAAATCCGTCGGATCGAAGCGGTCGCCTTCGCAAAGTCGCAACCAGATTCGCGGCGCCCCCAGGGCGGCGCCGCGATCGACAAGCCCAAGTCTGTGTTTCCGCCTCTGCTGCCCGGTGATGTCGAAATCGAACCACTTTGTCCCCTCTGGCGGCAGGGGCCCTTGTCTACGGGGGTCCTACGGCCAGAACGGGGGGGCTCCCAAGCGGCACAAAAAGTAATGTTTACGGGTCCCCTCTGGTCCAACTCCGTTTGCTGTGCTCCGTCCAACCCAACCACCACCCAAATCCTCCCCCCCTACCCCCTCACCCCTCCCCCTATAGGCCACTCATGGTCCGCTAATCCACGCATCACATAATACACGCCTAGGTAGGTACATGTAACCATGTACATACTGCAGTCTACATCCACGCATCCGCTGGGGCGGGAGCTAAGGCCTCTTCCGCCCCGGTCATCCACTTCGTCCACCTCATTCTACATCGTCCACATTTATTGTGTCTGTTTCACTGATGACAGACACCAACTGCCACCGCCCACCGCCCACCACTCCCCAGCTCCCATACCTGCACCTGTCCCTTTCTGGCACAACATTGAGAAAAGGTTGTCTCCGTATGTGCTGTGGCGCGTCAACACGATGTGATGGGATCGATGGCGTCCAGGCCTGTGCAGCTCGAACGTGCCACCCACCCCCTTCGTCTTCGGTTCCGGCACGGCACAACACAAACCTCCCCAACATGTCTGCTCTGCGCTCTGCACACGTCTAACAGTACCAAACTCTCACACACACACTCACACACACATATATATACATTGCATGTTAATGTCCTGTTACCAAGTTCTTGCACTCAGCTGAACCTTGTCACCCTCCGTGCTCCCACCACCCCAGTGCCCCCCAGTCCCCCTGAGCCGAGCCTAATACTACTCTGGATGACCACCAACATCCAGGAACTCACAGGCACTTGCCTACCGCCAAATCTTCGGAGCAAGTCCCATCCCCGTCTAAATCAAACCCCGGCAAACCCCGGAGGAATTCTCTGAGCTTGTGTCAGCCCATCTGGACCCCTATGACGTCTGTCTTCCCCAATTCCCTGGGGTTCATCTCAAAATAAGGTTGACATCTGTGGCGAGGGCGATTACTCCTCCCCCCGGATACCGCAGATAACACAGCGGCAGCCGGTCTGTTGTAGCCTGCCACCCCTCCCAGCTATACGTACAGACGACAGCCCAGCAGCCCCAGCAGCGGCATGACATCCCGCGGCCAATGGGCTCCTGTCTGGGCCGCCCGCGGTGTCGCATCCACCAGTGTTTGTCCCTGCCCGCTGGGCGTGGGAGGCGAGATGCGGCCCGAGGACGTGCAGCCGGGCGCGATGCCCTCTCCTGGTTCCTCCCACTCTCAAATACTGGTATAGGATGCCAGACTGACTCAGGACCCTGACTCCCCTGACGGGCCTGACGAGATTGCCGCCAAGTTAGTGATGTCACCATCTGCGAACTACTATACTCTCCTCCGTCTTGTTAGCCCCTATCCATGTCTCATGCCTACTGCATCTGTGTGGTAGACAATCATCAATATCATCGTGAAATTCTGGCTTGAACATCCGATGTTTGCGCAGAGTTCAGACAAGCAGGCACTGTACCATCCAGGGAGTATCACGAGTGCTCGCTCAGTTGCAGTTGACGCGTAAAACTGAGAGACCTCATCTGCCGCCTGTCGTCCTTCCTACAGTATTCCCTTTGATTAAAAATGTCGGGCGGTTGGACATATCGGCGGGCCTCATTTCCTAACTTGGCAAAAGAAACTACGTCGGTCGACGAGAATACTCGTACTCGGATTAGGCGCCATGAGGTGCCGAGGAAATATTATTATCGATGAAGTCAATAACATGCTATTTGAATTCCCGTGGTTTCACATCACATTTTGCATCTTCAGTCACCAATATGTCATCCCCTCCGCCGTGCTAACTTCGGACTGACTTTTGAGCCAAAACCTGGTTTGACCCTTGCCAGCCTTACGAAGGCCGGTATCCCCGGCCCTGCAATGTACCAAGACGAGATGTCGTGGTCATTTTTGAAGTTAGTCGTGATAGGGGGAGGGAATCTTTGTACCGTACCAAAGTACCCAAGCTGCCAAGCAGCCGCCTCCAAGGGTTACACCCGGGGGCAGGCCCCCCAACACCGGAGCCAACCCCCCGCCTGTGCGCAAACCCGCCTCACTAATGGGAACCCTGGCCGTCCGTCCCAAAGCTGAAGCTCTGCTCGCCTTGCTGTGCCGAGCTCCCAGCGCCTGGGAAACTCTTCGCCGCCCTGTCCCGTCACCTTCCCAAACCCCTCCAACGCCACCTGCAACATCGCCCTTCCCCCTGCCTCACATTTCCCACAACACACGAAACGAACGCGTTACCCTTTAACCCGACCGTCTGTTCATTTTCTTTTTTTTCGCCACCATCACGCGACCCCCCCACACACACCACCAACTCCAATCGCAATGGCAGACAGGGGATCTCACCGCGGCGGAGGCGGCCGGGGAGGAGGTAACTTCCGCGGGCGCGGCGGAGGACGCGGCGGTGGAGGGCGCGGTGGAGGTGGTGGCCACGGCGGCCATCACCAGAGCAGCAACCAGCACGGCGGCGGCGGCGAGGGCGGCGGCGAGTCGAGGCCCAAGAAGGAGAACATCCTCGACCTGTCAAAGTACAGCGACAAGCAGATCACCGTCAAGTTCAGCGGCGGTCGAGAAGGTGCGTCACCCCCAGCTTTACCTCCCTCCCTCCCCCATGGCCCAATGAGCTAGCTCTCCGTGTCTTTTGGGGGCACCTTGATGTGCTGACAGATGCGCGTGCAAATAAACAGTCACCGGCGTCCTCAAAGGCTACGACCCACTCATGAACCTGGTCCTCGACGAGGCCAAGGAGACGATGCGCGACGACGAGGGCAAGGAGACCACGCGGCCCCTGGGCCTGACCGTCGCCCGCGGCACCCTGATCGTGCTGATCAGCCCCGTCGACGGCAGCGAGGAGATAGCGAACCCGTTCGCCCCGGCCGAGGACGACTGAGCGAGTGTGCCTGCCTGCCCCCGGAGCGGCAAACATACGACAAAAGTCTGACATGGAGCAAAGCGAGCAGCACCAGCACGTCCCGAGTGGACAAGACAGCTGCGGCAGGGATGGACTGAGCTGAGGTTCTGACAAAGAAGAGAACGTTATCAGCAATCGGGCGGGGTGGAGGAAAAATTGGATATGCGCCGTGGTGGCGGGTCGCGCAGTCTGGCATCTCTGGGCACACCGGAGGCAATATAGCATCGGAAATCCTCAAAAAGGGCATGGTTCAGATACGGCAGCATCGACCAGGAACCAAGGATGCGGAAAAGTGCGTTGACAGATACCCAAAACAAATAAAAGAGAAAAACCGTCAGCAATTCATGTTCTCGGTTCTGGTCCTTGCTCCCAGTGTTGCTGACGAGCGTTTGCTGCATCAATACCAACCAAGGCAACCCGGAAGCAGAGGCTTTCGATCTCATAAACTAAATGTAGAAAAAGGAACCTCGTCGGTCCGCATTGCCATTGAGCACTGGCTGGCAGTGTAGATGAGCCACGTAGAGAGCCTGTTTGATATGACTAACACGAAATCCCGCCTGAAGTCCTCCACTTACGATTAAATCAAAGTTGATAGCGACGCTGAGGCCCGTATAGATACGATGAACCTACCGACATATAAGCCTTAATATAAACATCAACCTAAATGCACGGGCAAATCTGTTGTCTGCTGCGCAGGGGGGGCGGGGATTCCTAGGAGCGGCTTGTATTTGCTCTTGGTATTGCGTTTAGCCATTGGTTGATAGCTTGTATGTGGTGATCAGGATGCAGATCGACTTATCACGCTTGCCCTCGGCATCAAACTTTAGAGAACATCCCCAGCTCAACGAAGTGCCCTAGCTTGTTTTGCCACGTACCTTGAGCCCCACTTATCTTTTATCACTTGGCCCAAAACAAAATAGGATATTTGGATGGTATCTTGCACCGTTTTCCCTCCTTCTACCAAAAATGACATAGGAACAGTTAAACAGCGTCGAGAGAGGCAAGGGGCCAGAGAGACGAGTAGGAAGAGGGCAAGAGGAAAGAGAGGCTGCCCGTCAACGCTATGAAGACGCCGAGCTGGCCTCCTTGCTGGCCTCCTTCTTCTCGCTGGCAGGCTTCGCAGCCTTGGCCTTGGCCTCGTGGTCGCCCTCAACACTCTCCTTCGCAGGCGGGACCACCTCCTCCTCGCCGGCAGCCTTCTGCTTCTGCGCCGTCTGCGTGTCGACGCCCTCAACGTCCGGGTGCGGCGGGGCCACCGCCACCGGCTCCCCGGCTTCTCCGCCGAGCGGCGCCTCGAACTCGTTGCCGTCGGCGTCCACCATGCGCGTCCTTGTCTCGTACCGCGTCTTGAACTCGACCTTGCCCTCCAGCGACTTCACCTGCTCCTCGTTAAGTATGTTGCCGTCCTGGTCGCGGTACTCGATCCGCTCCTCGCGCTTCACCAGCCGCTGGCCCGGCGGGGCCGGTGCTCCGCTGATGCCCGCTGCGTCACCCTTGAAGAATTCCTCCTTGTCATGGATCGGCTTCTGCGCCTGCTCCTGCTGCAGTTGCTCCTGCTGCTTGCCGGCTGGCGGCGGGACCGCAGCTGCCTCTGGCGCCTTGGAGCTCGGCACCGAGTTCTTGGACGTTGCGGACGCTGCTGGGACTCCTCCGATAGTGTTGTACTGCGAGTACTATTACGTGAAAAGTGTACAACGTTAGTTACTGAGCTACTAAGTCAACGTTGGATGCCCATCTTCATTACAATAACTGGGAGCAATTGCTGCCTTGCCGTCTATGAAGTAGACTTCCAGGTCTGCTAAGCTATGCTGCCAAAGGCCTTCTTGGGTAGCCTTCATATTCGCCACAAGGCTTCAGGGTTCGCAAAATTGTGTGCAAGCAATTTGCGAAACACCATACGGCACTTGCTACGCCATCCTTGCACTTGTCCTTTGTTGTATGTCTATCCTTTTTGAGACAATTGTCTCTCAGGTACCTGTTCTGGGGGAGAACCAGAAAAAGAACTTACGTCGTTGTAAAACGTGTTACAATCGAAGTCCCATGAGTCGAAAAGCTTCACGCGCTTGCACTCCGATTTCGTCCAAGTATTTCCGTATGCGAGAGGTGCGTAGATCATGAACACGGCGGCAGACAGGACCAAGAAGCTCGTGGTTGTCGTCTTGTTGATGATTGAGTTCTCTCGGATGCCCAGAGCCGCGACTCGAGCTGTCAGAAAGTCGAATGTCTGGCACAAAGCGATGACGGCGAAAGTCAGAGCCGGGAAGTAGTGGTGAAGGAAGAGCTGACGCTGCATCAGGTAGAAGGGGAAGTAGTGGAACGCCCAACCGAGCACAGACATTCCAATCTCGTAGTCGAAACGTTTGAACGTGACATTATCGTAGTCCTTGTAGCTCCGCTGCCACCTGAGGACAGCGACGCCCTTGAAGAGGACGTACACAACGATAGCCAGGGTGGAACTCCACCAGACTATTGGATTGCCGATGAGGTAGATCTGGCGGTGGTCTTTGCCCCAGAAGTTGATACCTCGCTTGAGAATTGGCCACGAGTTAGGGCGAGAGTCCCAAGCATGCGACTCGACCAGGCCGGCGTTGGTCCTCCACATCACCTGTTGGAGCTCCCAGAACTTGCCAAAGAAGCCGGGGTTCTGGTAGTTCACCTTCTCGGCGTCGGCACCGAGAACTGGGTGCTCGTTGTATTCAACGTACCATAGGCTGTTGGGAAGCGTGCCACCCTTGGCACAGGTGACTTCTTGTTGCTCGGAGGCCCAATCAGGCAACTTGACCTTGTGCGAGAACAGGACACAGCCAGTCATGATGTGGACCAGCTTGAACTTTGTCTCGATCGTACGCACTCGCTCTTGAGCAACGCCGGACTTAGACTGCTTCCCAACAATCTCGACTCGGAAGTAGTCGTTCGCATCGCCCTCAAATCCCTCGTACCCATATGCAGAAACTTCGTTTTGCCAGTCCTGTTCGGTGACCGGGGGCCTCACGTCGTGGGAGTGCAGACGGCGATGTGTGTTGAAGTGGTATAGGCGGAGAACATCGCCGCTCTTAATGAATGTCGGCTCCAACTTGTCCCAGGCATCCGTCCCGTTGATGGGTTCGCCGTTGATGTTCAGTGGTTGAGTCTGATTCTCGAGCAGCCACAAATTGTTTTCATCCTTGTGAGGGTATAGCGTGATCTGTTGCTGCTTGCTACCAGTAGGGTACATCAGAGGGTGAGAGTGAAGGTAGCCTCCTTGGGTGTTCACATGGCGAATAGAGACTCTGCTGCCCATGAGAACATCGGCGGGAACATCCTGCATGCTCTTCGAATTCAGTGTGGACTGGAACTCGGAGCTCATGAAACCATCGCCCTCGCCAGGGTTGACAAGGCAGACGAAGTGGATGGCAAACATGGACAGGTAGAAGGTGGCCGGGATAACAATCAGGCAGAAGAAGCGGGCCATGAAGTGCTTAAACCAGATCCGGGCCGTGACGGTCTTGGTGTCACCAAGCAGGACCCAGAGCTGGACCAGTGTCAAGCTTCCAACCCAAGCAATCGTGAAGAGACCGACCCATTTGATACTGATGGTTGCGCCGAGGCCGAGGCCGGTCATGGCGAGCCAGAACCACCAGCTGGGCTGGAAAGCCCGGGTAGGGCCCAGTTCGTGCTGATTGGTGAACGAGAGGAAAGCCATGGTCGTGAAGGCCGTTGCAAGGACCAGAGGCGAGTCGAGAAGGATCAGACGGGCCTGAGTAAGGAGACCATTCTCGAAGATGATCAAGCCAGCTCCCATGGCCGAGGTAAACGTCCGGCAGCCAGCGGCCTTCAGGGTGAGGAACACGACAGGAACCAGGAGGATACCACAGATGGCGGGGAACATCCGCATGGCAACATATGGGACACCGGGCTCGACATAGTCCTTCCCAATCTCCTTGAAGTCGAAGTCGCCATTGAAGCCAGCAAGCCAGCCGAAGAGTGTGATGAGGAGTTTGGCCAGAGGAGGGTGGACGTCCATGAAGAACTTGCCCTTGATATATTTCGAAGCGAAGCCGCCGAAGCTGGAGAGATATCGAATTAGTTATCTATGTGCAACTCGAATGGAGCACAAGGCTACATACTGGACCTCGTCGAATACAACACTGCTGGGCTGGTAGATTCGGAAGAGACGAACGATCGCGCCGAGGATCGTCGCGCCGAGCATGACCTGGTAGTCGGAAACAGGAAGGAGGAAAACGTCATTGTCGTCAACACCCTCGGAGGTATAGTCGTTAGGTTTCCGTGCCTGGGTCCTAGGTTTCACATGGTTCTGGTGGGGGAGGGGAGAAGGTGGCCTCGCCGTTTGCGCTTGCGCGCCAACTGTGCGCGCCATGGTGTTAAAATATCAAGATTCGAGGCTGGCGGGTTGCTCTTGTGATCGAAGAAGAAGCAGCCCTTTGCCTTTTGAAGTCGATATCGCGTACGATTCAGGTCGCCAGGGTCGATATGCGCAGGGGGAAGGATGCTGGGAATGGATTACGGAAACGATCGTCGAGAAGTGAAGGTTATTAGAAGGAGGTCGTCGTCATGGGGCACAGGCGACGGACAGAAGAAAGAAGAGAAAGAGGCTGCGTGCTTAGGGTCGAGGACAAGAGGTTCGGGAATGGCTTGTCCTTCCTGTCGCCTAAACTGACGATGCAGTCAGTAGAATGGCCTCTTGTTCGAAGGTGGCAGAAGAAGTTCGTGAATGGGGAAAAGGGGGATCGAGAATAAGATGCCTGCGTGCGTTGCGTAGGAGCTTAGGTAGCATTGTACGAGCTGACCTGGCCTCTAAACTTTCGGCCACTAGGGTCCCTTGGTCCCAGCTCTCCGCCCCAGGCTAGGCAGGGATGTTCTCAGCCAAGGGAGATTCAATTTGACACATGCTTTTGAAGATCTTCCGATACACCCATCCCTTGGCACTCGTTTGTTTCCTCCCTAGGACATCTAGAAACATAATTGACTTTGGAGAAGCTTCATCTGGTCTTTATGGGGGTGACTGCTCTCCTTCAAATCACTCTGGCCGGACGGAGAAGACAGCTTACTGTCTGACTGCACCCGCTGACGCGCCAATATGGTACCACTCGAGAGTGCCACGCAACTTGAAGATGATGCGACAGCTACTGTGGACACGACAGCGGTGGGTCGATACGCAGAGGATTAATCGGCAGCTGTGCCGCCTCAAGACACCACAGGGAAAGTAGAGTCGCCATATGCATCCCGTTGCCTCAACATATACCTGAGGCGGGTGTCATCATGCACATCTCTTCTCGGCTCGAGCTCGAAAGAATCTATAATCAACACGCAGCACAGACTATTGTGCCATCAAATTAGACATGGCACGGACTTGTACTAAATTCGGGTTGACAGCGCGTGGTCACGGTGAATTGACAGTTAGGACCACCTTTCCATTCCAGCTTAGGAGCAATAGACGCTCTGGCCTGGACGTACCACAGTGGACGGGCATCCTTCACCTTGTCATACCTGTTGCTGTTTGCTTGGAGATTGGTCCCACGTTGAGGAACCGGGGCTTACGACAGGTGGTGGCCATCGAATGCCATCCACCCAAATTGAAACGTAATTTTATTCTGTGCAAGTATATGAGATATTTGTGTCTCATGCATTCGCTTGGTGCTGTGAAGTTCGTAGCGTGACGTTGTGTTGTATTTGCGGCAGAAGGACGGAGTGGACACACCGAATACAACGCCCTGGCATGTGTCGACGGGCCTTGTGTTGGGCTTGCTCACCAAGGCTTCCGTGAGCTGAAGGGGGATGTGACTGACGAAAATTTCGAAAAAGAATATCCAAATAATAAATTGTGCTGCCAGATTGCTTTCGAGATAGAATGAAGTCTACATACCTGCTAACCTTCTTAGGTATATCAAAGTCTCATCTTTGGGGTGGTGTAATTACGAGGCGCCCCTCGTGTCCTCCCTGCTAAGGCCTTTTCTACACCACCCCCAGACGACCAGCGCGCTAACTTTTTTGGCCAAGCGAGCCAAGCACTGAGCACCCATCTCTGGTCTCTGTGCACGGCTGCCTCGAAAACACACGACCTACCTACACAACCCGCATCGCAGTGGGCCATCGCGTACATCTTCGACCATGGCCACTCCCAACGGCGATGCAGTTGCGGCTGCGGCCGCCGAGCTCGACAAGCTCAAGCCACCACCAGGCATCGTCGTTCCTCCACCTGGCGAGATTCGTGAAGCCATTGAGAAGACTGCTGGCTTCGTAGCCCGACGTGGAGTAAGTTTCGAGGAACGAATCCGCGAGAGCCATGGAGCCAACCCCAAATTTAGCTTCTTGAATGGCCAAGCCGACCCCTATAACGCCTGGTACGAGTGGCGCAAGGAACAGTACAAAGCTGGCAACGTCACGGCCCACGCCGCCGGTCGCGTCGGTGAGGACCTTGCGACACCTGCCAAGGCGGAACCCAAGGGGCCACCAAAACCGCCCGACTTCCAGTTCTCTGCCCGCATGCCGCGCATCAATCAGAAGGACTTGGAAATTCTCCGATTGACGGCCCTCTTCGTCGCCAGGAATGGGCGCCAGTTCATGACGACCTTGGCACAGCGCGAAGGCGGCAATCCGCAATTCCAGTTCTTGATCCAGAACCACACTTTCCACAACTACTTCCAGCACATGATCGACCAGTACTCAATATTTCTTCGGGAGGGTGGCAGTACTGGCGAGGGCACAAAGGCTCAACAGGAGCGCATGGAGGAACTGCAGCGGACCGTCGATGACAAGTACCATGTGCTTGCGAGGGCCCGGCAGAGGGCAGAGTGGGCGAAGTATCAGGAAGCCGAGAGGATAAGGAAAGAGGAGGAAGAGGAGGAGGAGAAGCTCGAGTTTGCCCGAATCGACTGGAACGACTTCGTGGTCGTCGAAACCATTGTTTTCACCGAGTCCGACGACCAGGCCAACCTCCCTCCTCCCACTTCGCTGAACGATCTACAGTATGCCTCATTGGAGGAGAAGAACAACGTTGCTATCAGCTCCAACCTCCGCCTTGAGGAGGCCTTCCCCTTCGACGACCACACTTTCACGCCCGCAGCCCAGCAAACACTGCCTGTCCACCCCTCCCCAGCGGCTCAGGCGACACCCACACAGTTTCAATCTCCTATGCACCCGCCCTCTCCTGCCGTGCGTGCCAGATCTGCACAGGAGGAGGAAGAAGCTCAAAGGATCCAGGAGCGGGAGCAAGCACGGGCCCGCATGCAACAAGCTCAAGCAGAAGCCAGGGGAGGCCCTGCCCAGGTCAAAATCAGAGAGACACCTGTTCCCAGAGCTGCGGCACGGAACGCAAACAAAGTGGGAGCACAAATGGCAATTTGCCCGAATTGCAAGCAGCAGATACCACTCAACGAGCTGCAAGAGCACATGCGCATCGAGCTCCTGGACCCACGGTGGAAGGAGCAGAAAGCCAAGGCGGATTCGCGCTATGCTACAACAAATCTATCCACGGTGGACGTGGCCAACAACCTCAAGCGGCTGGCAAGTCAGCGCAGTGATGTCTTCGATGGCGTGACTGGACTGCCAGTCTCTGAAGAAGAGGCAGCCCGGCGGAAGAAGGTCGCAGTCAACGCTTTTGATGGCAATCCTGATGGGAAGAGCCAGGCTCACATGAACCACCTGCAGTCAGTCAACGTGGAGGAGCAGATCAGGGCCATCCACCAGAAATTCGCAGGGGAGAAGAGATGAGGGAAGTCAACGGATCTGTCAGATGAAGACGCTGTTAAGTTCCAGGCACATCATACCGGCCGCTATGTCCTTATATCGAGAGCACCCGAACCGGGCGGTCCCATGAGTGGTCGTAGCACGGTTTGCGCAGAAGGGACAGGCGTTAGGATGCTAGGTGAGACATAATTACTTACGATTTGTGTGTTTGTCAAAGCTTATACCAACCAAATGGAGCAGGTTGTTGACGCGCCACTGTCTCCATTGTGCCGTGAGATCATGTCAGAAGAACTGGAGTCATGTTCTTCCGCCTGGATGAGCGTATATAAGCACCAAATTGTGTGACGTTGATCTGGTTGTCGTTTGTGTGAACCTCAAGCCAGTCAAAGCAAGAGGCAGCTATGCCACAGTAGGAGCCGAGGGGCCAAGACTAAAAGTATACATACACATATCAGCCGCAATATTTCTCATGGGCAGCATGGACCTGGCACACGGCGACACGAGGCCTGTGACCAGCTCCACTCCGTAGCTTCGTGCCCTTTTGAGAGTAAATATCTGTCTTGACCCAACAAGACCGACGTTGCTCTTTTTTAGAAAAAGAAAACCATTGGAAATCATAGTACCATGGAGTGATCCAGCACGTGCGCATTGTAAAGAATCAGATGTGAAGTGACGCAGCTGATGCAGCTGATGCGGCAGCGCCAAGAATTTCCTCCCCCCGAAGCTCGAAGTAAGAGCTCAAGGTGCCATCCAAGGCTGCCCCGCGCTTATACGAGCACCTTCCAATTAATGGAGAAAGCCATCCCCACCTTGACTCTATAGCTTGGCTGGTGCTGTTGTCGCTTTCAGCCGAGCCCAACCTCCTCTCACATCATTACCCACCCCGCGACCAAACAAGCTACCCCCGCGTGGTCCAGGTCGCAGACTGCGGGCCTCATACACAGCAAACACCCAAGCGATCCTTGCAATACCGTCAAAACGGCTTCGAACGGCGACGACGCCCCGCGCGCCGATGGCGCTGCGGCACCGGCGAACCAGGCGCCGCCCCTCTCTCCCACCTCTCCTGGCCCGACGACACCCAAGGGGCCCATCTCCCGCTTCCAGAAACCCATAATGCAGTCCATGTCCAGTCTGCCAGACACTCGCCAGCAGTCGTTTGACGAGATCTACGGCCCGCCCGAGAACTTCCTCGAGATCGAGGTGGGTGGTCTGCCCCATCCGGGTGCCTGGCTTCGTCATGCCATGTCGTGTGACTTTGTTGCACGATTCTGCGAAGCACACACGCCACGCGACCCAAACAAGATGCTGACTTTTGTTCGTCGAAACCCAGGTCCGCAACCCCCGAACACACGGCATCGGCCGCTCCATGTACACCGACTACGAGATCGTCTGCCGGACCAACATCCCCGCCTTCAAGCTGCGGCAGAGCACTGTGCGCCGCAGGTACTCCGACTTCGAGTACTTCCGGGACATCCTGGAGCGGGAGAGCGCGCGTGTCACGATACCACCCCTGCCCGGAAAGGTGTTCACGAACCGGTTCAGCGACGACGTGATCGAGGGCAGGAGGGCGGGGCTGGAGAAGTTCCTCAAGATCGTCGTGGGCCACCCGCTGCTGCAGACCGGAAGCAAGGTCCTAGCGGCTTTTGTACAAGGTAAGCTGTGTCTTGGGGCTCTTGAGACGTCGCTCAGGCGCACGCGTGCTGGAAGAAAGCAGGAGAAAGTGGCTGACATTGTGGCCCATAGATCCAAACTGGGATCGCAACGCGTGGTGACTTCCAAAAATGTTCGCTCGTTTGACTGCAGGGTCCTCCTCTTCCTCTTCTTCTACTTTCCCCGCCAACATCCACAACAATAACAACAGCAATCTTTACTCTCCCCCCTCTTCCTCGAACAACCGTCAACATCAACAACCTCGCAGGCCCAGAAAACTGCGGAAACGACCTCCCAGGGGCTGGGCCGAGCACCAGGCCCTCTTCAAGCTTGCGGACGATGATGAGAATCAAGACACCATAGGAAACATGGCCAGGGGCTTACGGTGATGAGGCGTATGGGTGGGTGCGTATCGGACAGTGGCGCAGATTGGTGACGAGACATGGGGCCTAGCAGGGGAATGCCCATTGCAATTTTTTCTGTTGACGATCCTTTCGGCATTGAAGCTTTGTTTTATGATATACCACACCTTTTCCCATTGTTTCTCGTGTGTGTATGGAGTTGCCTACTATTTTCCGGGATGGCTAACTCGCGGCTCAATGCTCTTGACTGACCAAAAGCTTTGCAGCACTCAGCTCATGATAAGGATGAAATTGGAATTTTGTATCCTGCTTTATTCTTCTGAATTGTTGCACTGTATAAGGCTAATTCCACAGTCTTGTGATTGAGTGGGTAGGAGATGCTGGATATGCATCGAAGCATACTCGGCATTGTAAAGTCAAATGTGGCGATCCATATCAGGAGCAAATGATAGTATGAAAAGTCATTTCCGTCGGGGACACTGTTGCGAAGCTTGCGTAGTCTCAGTTTGAGGCACGCTGCATCAGAATTACTTACCAATTCCAGGAGACGGGGCCTGCTTAGGAAGATGAGTCCGATATTTGAGCGGATTGCCAATATGGATTAAATATGCTCACACGAGATCTGAATGAAGGCAATCCTACCGTAATGCTACGCGAACTGCATGAAATTGTCCAATCGCCTGTTACCAACAACAGAGTGCTAGTGTGGTAGATTTGTTGCAGGTGCCCACTGCATCTGTACATGTCAAAATTCAAGGACGCGGATGCATTATCACAACCACTTGAGAAGTACATAACCGCAGTTTCCAGCGCGCATGAAGCCGGGGCAACCAAGTGGCGGGCTCGACGGTGGTCGCATGAGGTGATCCAAAGCTTTCAGAAGCTGACTTCTTCTCTATCGAGTGACATAGGCAGCTCAGTGAATACATGAATGACGTGCGGAAGATACATAGCCTCCCCCATCAAAAAGATTTGGTGAGTCCGGCCCGGATGCAAAAGCTATGCGCCAGCCCGGAGTCGAACCGGGGGCCCATCGATGGCAACGATGGATTTTACCGCTAAACCACTGGCGCCTTTGTTGAAGATGAGGCGAAAAGGGGTGCTCAGAAAGTTGTTGCAGAAAAAAATTCGACGGCGGAGTTCTAGACTCGGTTGGGTTGGAGGGTGGGTCCGCCCGGGAGCGGAGGGTGGTTTCGGATGATGGTGGCAGTATACGAAGCGTGATCGACTTAGATGGACTCCAAGACCAGCATCCAGGCACGGAAACACACGAGTTGTGTTGCCCGGCATTGTCCAGGTAGTACTAATCTTGTGGGCCATAGAACTGTCCCAAGCATTCGCTCAGACACCAAGCGTGTATTTCAGAGGCGTACATTCTGTTTACGACAAATGTGGTGTACTGGAATTCCAAACATGATTTTGCCCTGATGAAAGCGGATCGCTTTTGGTTCTTTGAAAATTGAGAGACGTCATGTGTAGCTGACGGCGAGTCGGGACGGTCAGATGTTATCGATGTCAAAACCAAGGTTGCCATATAGTACCCATTGTATATGCATCAATCCCAACCACAGCCATGTGCTTTAACAGATGACTCCCGAGGTTTATACTCGCGCGAGAGGACTTGAATGTAGTTCTTAGCGGATATGCACTTGCAACACCAAGCATCTATACGTACTTTCCACCAACTATATAAAATTGATCCCCGGGGATTGTATAATAATGCCTCTACCTGTGTAAATGCCTGGACCGCCCGTGATGTGGTCTTGGGTGCAGCCTCCCGATTAGGTCTTCTTGGAGGCCCGTAGGTTACAGCAAACTCACTGTAGCAATCCAGCTCGGGCGCACCAACAACAGGCGAAAGCCCGGAACCTACCTGGACTATGCCTGATCGTGCATCTGGTTCCAAGCAATGATCGACGTCTATTTACACGCAAGTCGCGAATCAACTCCCTGTTGCACCAAGGGGTCCACACACGATGCCCATATTCACCTTAGACTAGCCGACTGATCGTAAGAGTAGCCACACACCTTGGAAGTGGAGTTTTCGTCATTTTCAAGACTCAGCAGAATCATAGTGGGATTGCGAAGCCGTTCTAGAATGAAACCACTGTATACTGGGCCGGACTCTCGAGCTTTATAATTCGGTTTTTTGAGCATTTTGCAACCTCTCCTTAGCTCAGTTGGCAGAGCGATGGACTGTAATAGTACAATTAGTTATCCACAGGTCCTCGGTTCAAATCCGAGAGGGGAGATCTTTTTGCGATTCTTTTATTTAATCTCGAGAAACTTGTTCGATTTCCTTGGTAAATAAATATTGTAAATCAAAATTGTCGGGCTGATGACAAAGGATGTCTCTTTTGTAGGGCCAGGTGGTTGTTATAGCTGGAACAACCGCTAGGAGCCTTGCTTATACCTTGTTTGTTCCTCTATGTTTTTTTTCCTCTTTAAATATTTTTTTAAATGGCTAAAAGTAATTACAGGGGATGAGTACCAGAGACAACGGAGGAGCGGCAGAGAAGGCGAGCCTTGCGTTAGCCGGGTCGCCGTGGCTTACATCGGCGTCACGACTGTCCAAACATGCCATGCAAGGATTACAAGCTGGAGGGACACAGCACTAAATTGTCCTTCTTGGACGCGCAGACGCCCTGTGTCTATCCCTGGAGTTCTTCAGCAGACAACAAAGGGTCTCAGTCTAAGCGTCATCGCGGGAAGGGCCGAAATTAGAAGTGAGGGCGAAAGATATTCTTCCCATTTGTTACTGCCCTGGAATGTCGTCACTTGATGAGGAGGCTGCAGAAGCGCAACCCGTGAGTAACAAGTGTCTTCTTCTGGTGAGTTTATCATTTACTTGGCCCCCAATGTCTAGTCCACCCTTCTCCAAAGTTCTTCTTCCGGATTTCAAAGCTTGAATGACTGGACTCCTCAGCACGTTGGGAGAGAAGGACATGAAAAAATCTCGAGTCCATGAACGACAGAGCCTTGATGAGGCTCTGGGCACCCTGAACATCTTCTCGGAGATGCAGTGGTACAAATCGAACAGGACGTCATCGAGCTTTAAGGAACGATCATAACCATCCAACTGTAAACAATTGTACGTCAACAATATTGAAACATATTCTGACCGACCATAGCTTCTTCGGGGCACAAGAGAAACAGCTTTCGCGTGGATTACCTTGACCTGAGAAAATCAATTACATAAGAACAGTGTTTGATAATTGACTGCTCGTATACCTAAATAGATCAGTCCTAATATCGATCAGTCCTCGCGACTCTAAGTACATATACCCGCTACGTATCCTGGGTAGATCCTGAATGGCCATAAACAGCATTGCACTATTTTGTTCTCGCTTGTAGACACAGACACCGATATGCGCGCTTTATACGGCTGTGGAGCTGCTCTCCTGCTGGCTTGTAAACGAAATGCAAGGAACTATAAATCAGTGGCGGCAATGTTGTCTCGACCTGATCTTATACAGACTCTTCTCAAGATAAGATTCTGTCGCGCGGTTGAGTCTCTATTTGATAATATATTAATTTAGTTCTTCAGTGCCGCGAAATATTTGAATATCGATCCGAATGAACTGCTCCTATCGTTCCAAGGAGGTGATATCTCGTCGTCTAAACAAGCCAAACACTTGGAACACCACAGAGAGTCTCCTGATCCTGATGAATCAGTTTTTGTCGACATACGAAAGGAACAAAAGACTTAAGAAAGGAGATTATCGACAAGCTATCTGGCAACTCGTGGAAGACATTGTCTGATGTCCAACCTTTCTTTCGTCTTTTGCCAGCCCGGCTGTTTGCACGCAGTGGGTCCAAATTAAAAGCGAATTGCAAGCGCTTAATATGGGGATAAGAAATGATCCATCTTCAGAGAACAGATCATTTGCCATCCCTAGTAAAACTTTACGAGCTAAGATAGGCGTTGTATTGTGTTCGGATTCGATTGGCATTAAACAAAACAGATATGGGATTAAGACAGACTTGAGGTTAGATGAGAAGAATGGGATCCGGTCCTTTAAAGTTTGCAACACATCTCGATCAAAAAAAATGGATTACTTCTCTTAACTATTCCATGGCCATATGAAGTAATGTCGGATTCGTCACATTCTGCGGCCTGAAAGCCAAACATGACATTTTATCAGCATTCAAAAATCAAGTGTCTCGTCCACATAAGCTGCTTCTTCGAAATTACTCTTACAGTATATGGCTAGTAACTTCTAGTAAAGACGTCTCTAAGGTCTTCATCTCGAGCTCTGAGCCTTTGACTGTGTCTATCTTGCGAAATATCGCTCAAGCGAGGCGCTCGAGAGGTGTATTTAGACTTACCAGTGCTCTTACTGGCGATAACATCATGTACATCTCTGGACGAATGTCTGCTTCTTTATAGCGCTGTATGAACAACTTCGCCGTGAAAGAGTGGATGCGTAGCTTGTGACTGCTGCATCTCTTAGTGTTGCCTATCGCGAATGGCTGCATTATCGAGGCTTTGTTAATAATGCCGACATCGAAGAGCCTCAATGCAAAGCAGGAAGCTTAACCGTCGCACTTCTGCAGACAAGATCGAGGGATTTCACAGCCATCAACAACCCGGACCATACAGGATATCGAGGAAAACATAACCCTCTTGCCTTCGAAGAGAAGGCTGCGCGTTTTTTTCATACCAATCACTCCAAGTAGGCTCATATGCTTTGACAACAGCCCATGCGCTTGTCAAATCCGTACCAATCTCGGATGATGGAGTCGTATGCTGTAAAAGGCCACCTTTTGCCATGCGCGCAGAGCTGGAGGAAAAAGAAAGAGATATAGGTGCTAGATTCAGACAATGACAATAATCAAGAGATGAATAGTTCATGCAACAATGCAACGGAATGACCTGGAGCTTTATTTCAAGCTGATTGCTTTACAGAGTTATCAAAATAGAAATGGAAAAAAAGACATGTCTCCCCTCTCGGATTTGAACCGAGGACCTGTGGATAGATAGTGATACAATTACAGTCCATCGCTCTGCCAACTGAGCTAAGGAG